TAGCAATAAAGAATTTTTAAAAATACTAAAAAAAAAAAAAAGAGTGCTGAATATCCCATGCACTGCTAAAATAACAAATGTTTTGGAGAAGGTGCAACCAGAGTGCTCCTTAGAAGCAAGGATGGTGAAGATTCATCTCACATACTTAGGACTTGTGACGAGAGACGATTTTCCTGTTCAACATTAAGTCTTAAAGATTTACCCACATTTGTAATATGTGGATGAAGCTCCTTATTTACTGATGCATACTGTTCCATTGTATCTTTATACTCTGTAGCATAATTTGTTTATCCGTTCATCTTCTGATGTGGATCTTCAGTATTTTTTCACAGTCATAAATAGTATTTCCACGCCTTCCAAATCATTATTTAGCTCTTCTGTCTTTAGATTCTTCAGAAGCAAGGACAAGCACCTTGGGGCTTTACAGTCTGGCCTAGGAGACCGACAATCAAGATGTTGGTTTCTTGTCCTCAATCTCCAAGCACAAAGCAGCTGGGATGGTGGTGCAAGAAGAAACAGAAGATATGAATGAACAGATGAATGTCTGGGAGCAGACCTGGATCTTCTTCACTGGAACGAGTCTGCAAATAGTATTTTGTCAGGGTGCTTTGTGGTTGTAGGAATTCTTTTTCTTAGACATGCTAAGGCAGAGGTACTTGGTTCGAATTCACTAGCTGCTCCATGGGAGAAAGATTTCCAAGTGATTTACTGACTCTGAAAACCCGCTGAAGGGTCAGTGCTGGGTTAACAATATACAACACCTGTTATTTGGGAAGTGAGCCATCCTTGATGGCACAGTGATTAAGCACTTACCTGCCAACAAAAGAGTTCCATCCTAACCCACCAGCTACTCCCACCTAGGATAAAGAGATGTGAGTCTGCTTCTGTGAAAATGACAGTCTTGGAAACTATGGGGCAGTTTACGCTGTTCTTTCAGGTCACTGTGAGCTGTAATCAGCTTGGCAGCAATGGGTTTTTGGTTTGACTTAATGTTACCAATGTAGTTTGATTTAATGTTACCAATGAGGAGCCTTGCGAATACAATGGTTAAGCACTGGCTGCTAACTGAAAGGTGGGCAGTTCAAACCTATCCAGTGGCTCCTTGAGAGAAAGATGGTAATTTGTTTCAGTAAAGATTAAAGCCAATCCTGTAAGTCACTTTCAGTTTTGTGATTTTCACAATAGGTAACAGGATATTAAACTAAAAATTATATAAATGAACAAATAAAGTAATTAATTTACATTAAAAAATATTAAAGCCAAGAAAACTTTCTGTGCAGACCTACCCTCCCTTATGTTATGATTTGGAATCGACATACTTTAGTTTGCTGAGACATACTCTAAATATTCACATGTAGGTGGCCTTCAGTTTGTTTTATTATTATAAATAGAGCTTCTATGGATACTTTTCTCTTAGGGATTATATATGCCTTATATATTTCTCAAAGTGGAATTACAAAATAAAAAATATATTAGTCTCTCTCATACAGCCCACATGCTTGAAAAGGCAGAGAGGTCAGTGAAGGAGAAGTCCCTCGACCAGGTGGACTGCTGCAATGGGCTCTAGTGTCAGGAAGTGAGGATGGCACAGAGTAGACAGGGTTCAGATCTGTTGTTCACAGAGTCACTATGGGTTATACCGGACTCCATGGCACCTACCACCACCACCACCACCACACATTGCCCAAAATACTGAATATTGCAAAACTGAACGAACTACAGTTCTCAGTCATACCTAGTGGCTTTCTCATAGCTCTACCAACATGAGTTTTTCCATTTTCATTAGTTTCACTAACTTGATTAAAGTACCTTTTTTAACTTTTTAGTGTCCTCTGCACTATTCTATGTGACAATTTGCCATTCAAAGTCCCTCAAGTGCAATCAGCAATATATTGGGGTTACATTTTCTCACTGTAATCCAGTTGCCCCGATAACACTGACAAAAATCCCTTTCCCCTAAGTGTGTCACTTCTGGTTTGTCTCACAGTACGTTCTCGGAGCAGTCTAAAACTCCTTGTGGAATGTATTTTAGTCCACTGGACTTCTTTTTCTGTTTATTTTAATTCAATGCCATATGTTTTCCAAGATTGTGACATCATCTATGTTAAACTATGGAAGGATAGATCTTATTGCTGTTCTACTTAAACACACACACACAAACACACCCACAGAACCCCTCTGTGGAATGCTTGTCTGCTCTTTTTCTGTTTGGTTTTTTCAGTATATATTTGCTAAATGCCACTGTGTCTTCTCTCTGCAAGGATGGAAAAGTCTGGTGGGGCGCTGACAGTCTGGGAAAGAGGACCCCCATGGGGGGCTGCTGGGCAATGAATGCCCAAGAGCTCTGGAAGGAAAGGCTCCTTCCAGCTGAGGGCACCTGGAGACTGGATGGGCTCCAGAGAAAGGGGCAAATGGAAGCTGACAGAGTGGGACAGGAGCATACTGGACAGCCAAAGCAGTTAAATTTGGGGTACCTGCAACACCCCACCCTTTCCTTGCTCTTTTGCTGCTGTGAAACTCAGGCCACCCCCACCCTGGTGAGGCTCCAGACCCCTCAACTCTGTGCAGTGATAAAGGTGTCCCATTGAGGGTGACTGTGGGCTCACAGGCCTAGAGACAAGGCTCTGCTCTGGTTTTGGGGGCACTACTGGTCCTCCCTCCCTGGGCCTCCCACCAGGCAGTTCAGCTCCTGTCAAGGGCCCCAAGGCAGAAAACCAGCTGAGTCATCCCCTCTCTCCAGGGTCTGGCTTCCCACTGTGCTCTGGGGTCCCCGGATGGGGATGGCCATGCACTCCACTTCTCCCACCCAGCTGGGCCTGCTGCCCCTCAGAGAGGATGAGAAGCAGGTAGGGTGCAGGAAGGCAGGAGAGAACGTCCTGACCAGTAACGGAGCCCAGTTACTTCCTGGATTGTTTGTTCAACGCTCAATCTCAGGGGGACCCGGAACTAAACAAGGGGATCTGCTCGCTATAAACAGTCACCCTGCCCCCACCTCTCCCATTGGGCAGCCCACGTCACAACGCATCAAGCCACGGTTTGAGGCCCCAGACTCTCGGAGTCTATCCGACCCACCGGAGCTTAAGGATCGCTCCTCCTTGGGGATTCCAGCTTTGACTTCCTCAACAGTGTCCCGTTTCCCCAGACAGCAGATTGTCCTTTATTCTCAAATTCTTGGTGTGGGACCTGTCGGTCTCCACGCTTCACTGTCACCCTGATATAGTAGAAAGTGAAAAGCTATATATTTGATGTTTTGTTTGCTGCTGTGGGGATTTTTGCAGCTTTCTAGGCGCCCAAGTTCTGCCCCGCTCTGGCGGGGCATGTTGGTCCAGGGCACTCCGCAGAGCACCAGACACGACACATTCCACACTCAGGCGCGCAGCCTGTCGCCGTGTCCTGGTGGCACAAAACTGCCCCGCACAGTTCTGTCCAAGCGGTGGGGATGGCGTATGCCACGAGTCATCCTTGAAGACCAGGAGTGGAAAAGAAAATATACAGCTTCGAGATGCCAGGAAGGACAGACCTTCACCAGTAAGCCTCAAACAATGGCAATGCTCGGTCAGAGCGCACAGTGAGCACAGCAGCCAGTACTCCAGGAGGGGGTCCTGGGTTTGGGGGACATGCCCTTTGGGGTTCAGGACCAGCGGGGTGAGGGGCCTCCCTGGCGTTCACTTCCCTGGCGGCTGCTCGTGACCCCCACCTCCCCTCCCCTGCCGCCGCCACATCTGGTTCCACTCAGATCCTCCCCCTGCAGGCGCGCACCTCCTCCCTCCTCTCTCCTCTGCGCAGAGCAGCGGAGTCTACTTTTAAAAACCTAGTCACACACGCACACACGTTTCTGCAGGAGAGAAAGAAGAAAAAAAGAAAAAAAAAGGGAGGGAAAAGCCGAGCGGCCCGCTCCCCGAGTTCCCCCGCCCGGCCCCCGAAGTTGGCCAACTTGGCAGCGCCTTACCCGAGGGGGCGGCGGCGTCGCCGGGGCGGCCGAGGTGCAGGCTCCCGAGGAGCAGGACGCAGCGCAGCAGGTGACGAGGCCAGGGTGGGGTAGCCAGCCGGCCGAGCCCCATCCTCACAGCAGGGCGAGGACGCACGGGCATGGCGCGCGCGGTGGCAGCCCGCGAGGGGCTCGCGTCCTCCGCCGGTTCGGGACGAAGTGATACCTCCCGGGGAGAAGAGCAGAGGAGGGAGAGCAGGAGGCAGGCCGGTGGAGGGGGGCGGAAGGAGGAGCTCGGAGCCCGCCCCGGAGGAGGGCTGGAGGGGCAGCGCGGGAGACGAAGGGGCGGGGGTGCGGCGGGTGCAGGGCCGGGAGAGGGCGCGCCGGGCAGGCAAGAGAGGAGGAGCTGGGGGTCCAGGAGGACCCCGGGAAGGCGCCCTTCCTCTCACTCTCCGGGCCCCCTGCTCTCCCCACCTCGCCCGCCTGGCTTCTCCTCCCGTCCCGGTTTGGAGCCCCAGACGCTGCGTCACAGGTCCCGGGCTGGCGCGGGCGGGGAAGAAACTGCAAAACTTTCCGCAAACTTCACCGCGTGGCAGGAGCTTGGCTGCAAGAGAGGTCGGGCCGGCCGGGGTGGGGAGGGGGCGTGCGGCTGACCTCGGGGGCGTCTCCTCCTTCCCGCCCATCCCGCCTCCTCCTGACGTCTCCCTGCAGAGCATCCGCTACCTCCACGCCGAAGAGGACCCCCTCCCCCGGGCAGTGGGGAAGGGGCGGGGCCCAGCGCTGACCACCCAGGCGAAGACTGGGGGAGGGGGAGGCAGGGCCCGTTCCTTGTAGCGAACAAACAATTCGTGCTGCGTCTGGTTTTAACATTTGTGTGACCCTTGTGTCAGCGTCCTTGGCGCTAAGGGGTGCAGCACTTTTGCTGTTTGGGGCTGCATCCAGAAACCTGCGAAAATCTGTCCTCTGAACGTCCCGTAAGGCCAACATCATCACTTCCACCCAGCAACTGGCGTGCTGGCCGGTAGCAAAGGACCAAATGGAAATTTCATAAAAACGAAGACAATCCACAGTCACCGCAGCTCAGAGCCCTGGACTGAGGGTGGCAGGAGGCCACTGCCATCTCTACCTCCAGGGTGTCCACTGAGGACTCAGTACAAGTTGAGGGAGGGACCCCAAGTCTCTCGAAGAGCAAGAAACTAATATAAACATTTTGTTTTCTGTCTGTACACCCTGATGAGATTTTTTTTTTTGGAAAGAACAAATTCAAACTTCAATTGTCCTGGGGTAAACGAGACCCAGAAGCACACACGCACTGGGGCAGAGGCTCGGTTGGCCCTCTCCATACAGCAGGGAGCAGATTTTTGGCAGCTATCAGACCACAGAACATGGCAAAGCAAGCACTCACTGAAACCACTGGGGCCTCTGGAAGGGAAATCCTTCCCCTGCTGCCATAAAGGAGCCACGGTGACACAATGATTAAACACTTGGCTGCTAACCCAAAGGTTGGCAACTCGAACCCACCCAAAGCTCCACAGAGATCGTTAGTGTTGGATGCAGTAGAGGTTCCAACTCACAGCAACCTTATGTGACCAAGTGGCACTGACCAGAGCCTTTCTTAGCTGCCCCTTTATAGAAGTGGATTGCCAGGTCTTTCTCTTGTGAACATATTGGGTCTAAAGATGACAGCCTAGAAAAATGTAGCAGTTCTGCTTTTTCACATGGGGTCACTGAGTCAATAATGGGTGTGATGGTATCTTACAGCAACATCTACACTTCATCTTTAAAGCACTGGGGAGCAGCTCATCCAATCACACTGCTGGCAGATATGGGGTCCCTTTTGATGGTCAATGCTGCTTCACTGCTCTCAGGGCATATCACTGCCCTCCAGCCAGTCTCTTCTGGGACCTGGATCTGCACCAGCTTGGCTGTGCTGAGGCTCACTCACCATCCCAGCCTCCCTTTATCGCCCTGTTATCTACAAGGGTGTAGAGGCTTGCCAGTTGTAGTGAGCTGCTCTTTCCACCTCAAGCAGCCAAAACATAGGCGGCTTCTTCTGAGCCATCTCACAGGCTTCCTTCCATCTGCTGGTTCATCTCTGGTTGGGCTGGCCACAGGCCTCTTCGGGGGTCTTTTTCTCTGAGGCCCTGCATGGCCTCTGAAGTCCAGGCACTGGGACAGGCCTGGGGATCCCCCTCCCCAGCAGCGGGAAGTGGTGTTGACCTTCCACCCAAAGGGCAGGCTCTAACTACCTGGTGTAATCAGTAAGAACAGTGGGGTCCAGAAAGACCACTACTGGCCACCACCTGGGGCATCCACAGAACAGCACCAGGTGGTGTGGCTTGTCTCCTCTCTTACCCATCCAGTGCACACCAAGCGAGCGCTTGCCCTGTGCTGGGTACAGGGAAACAAAGGTGAGCAATCCCAGCCCTGGAAGAGTGGGGAAAGGAAATATTTTGCCAATTTCCAAGCAGAGAAAACTGCCAGACGAAAGCCAAGGAGCATGAAAGTGGGGTTTGCTGTCAGATCTGGTTGTTGGCTTGGCACTAAGGTCCTGTGTTAAGTCTCCCTGGTCACGGGCAAGCAGTTCTGCTCTAACATACCATGCTTACCCTGTATTCTGCTGATCGTCTGCTCCTGTGCCCGTGGCCAGAATGCGTCAAGAGCATGGCCACTTCTGGGCAATCCCACTGGTGAGGAATACAACCCAGGCCCCCTTCTTAAACATGCAGTACAAGATCAGTTGTCCATGGACCAGGAGTACTGGAGTTTGCCCGATGGCTGAAGCTTACAGGGGGCTCCCCCACCAGCACCCAGACCCTCACCTGCTTCCAAATAAGAGGGAATGTCATCTATGTCCATGGAACAGCCATTTACTGGAGGTCTAATATGGTCCAGGAGTCAGGCTAGGTGCTGGGGACTTTTTGAGGTTTGTGACCCAGACCAGGGGATTTTTGCCAAGATGGCATTTGCTGTAGTGGAACTGATGCCAGGAAATGGCTCTCCTCCAGACGTAGCTGACCAGTCAGCCAAATGGCACTCACTGCCGGTTTGCTGATTTTGTCCAAACTAATTTAGTGGGTGGGACATAGGCTTTCAAGCCGAAGAGACCCCAGTTAGTGGGCTTTCCCATGTGATACTGAGCAAGCAACTGAAACACTGATGGTCACCATTCCTATTTTTTTTTTTAATTATATTTTTGTGTGTATCATCAAATCAGATGTGACTGGTACAGGAGATTGTCTATTCTTCTCCAGCAGAGATCATTCCTATTTTTAACTAACAATTTCTACCTGAACAAGATTTGACTCAGTGATTGTGGCAATGATTCCAGTGTATCAGAGGATGAGGATGGCACACGGTTCCGATCTGTTCATAAGGTCACTGTAAGTCATAGATGACTTGATGGCACCAAATAGCCACCTTGTCTAAGAATTAAATAAGGTGCGAAGAGTTGGCAAAACTCCCAGGATCTCAGGAATGTCAGTCCCCGCCTTGCTTGTCACCTGAACATCGGGGTGTCTCCTGTTCTTACTCCCTGCCCAACCCTGTCCATGAGATTGATTACTTTTATCAGGATTATGACAACACGGGTTTTATTTGGGCAGAGTTCTGTAGAGTTCTGTGCTGCTAAAAGGCTAGGCATCTCCAGCAGTTCAAATCCACCAAATGGGGATTCACGTCATTCCTCTGCCCTCCAGGGACCTCCCCCAGCCTCAATGATGGGACTGAGCCAGGAGCCCCAACACAGGCTCTTCTGGCCTACCTCTGGCCAGCTGGCAATCACTGTTGGACTGGGCTGATGTCTTCATCTCCTGCCTCACAGGGGCTGCTCCCTGGTGCTTGCCTCCATCTCCCCAAGCCAGGGAAGACAGGATAAGGAGTTTTCGCTAGTCTCAGTACTCTAACTTCTGAAGCAAGGCTGGTCCAGCTCCTGCCAACAGCCTTCTGGGGATCCCACAGGTCTTGGCTGAATCAACACACCCCCTCCTCCCACCCTAGGCCCCAGATGGAATACAGCACAAGAAGGAACATGAGCCAGGTGGGCACATCCACCACCCCACCCCAAACACTTCCAGTCCCAAGAGGTTCGCCAGGCCATCCACAGCCCCCGTCCCCCCTCCCCCGCCCTGTGAAGCAGCCAGGAAAGGGCCAGAGCACCTGGAAGGCACCTCTACATACAGCACTGCTCTTCAACCATTTGATGGGCAGAGACCAGCACTTAAGATACGAAGTAAAGCCGTAAGTATCAGAGTGTCTTGCGTGGAAGCTAAGTACTCTTCTGTGGTAAGGGAATGGGTTGAGATGTCAAAAGTATTTCTTACTGTGGCTGTCATCAAACCAATATGAAAATGCTGAGGGCTCGGAAGCAGGTGCCTCTATCTCTGACCAACTCTGACTGAAGGAGGACCTGCACTTAAGGCACTGCTCCACCTCCTCTCACCTGTCCAGCTGGTGTCCCTTTCATAGGTGGCAGCCTTCTCATTCTTCCTTCACTCAAGGAGGAAAGCTGCAGGCCAGACTTGTAGGTGCTCACAGTCCAGGCGGACAAGCCACTGTGACAATAGGACACAGCAGGTGAGGGAAGAGAGGTGAGCAGGTGCAGGGAGAACCCAGAGGAGGGAGGGCTGGAGGAGAGCTGAGCATTCACAGATGGCCAAGGCCTGGAGGTGTGAGAGAGACCGGAGAGGTTTGTGCAGCTCCCATTCCTGGAGCAGCGTCGAAGTGTGAACGGCACTCTCTGTTGCAATGCCCTCTTCTCATTCTACCTCTACCTATCATTCAAAGCCAAGCTCAGACAGCTATTCCTGGAATTCCGCCCCCCCTTCCAAAACAGATAATGCTCATGGATCTACAGAGCATGACGACCATTTGGAAAGCCATGGTCCCCCATTTCTACTCACATTCAAGGCCAGCCCAGATCTACAGAGGCAAAGCAGCTGCCCAGACGGCTGGGTCTCCAAGCAGACTCCCAAAGGCTAGCCAGGGAGAGGAGAATCCAGACAGGAGCATGCAAATGTAGAAGCCAGGTCAGACTTAAATATGCTTACAGCTGGGAACTGAAGTTGCCTTTGTCAACAGTCTCTGCTCAAGGATTTCCACGCCTACAAAGCCCTCCCAGTTTACTCTTGGCCCGCCCACTACCAGTAACTAGCCTGAGCCTCAGTTTACTCACCTGCAAAACTGTTGTGATGCTCCCACCTGTGCTGTGAATCACCTGTGAAACGTTATTACAAAGCAGACACACTAGTGCATCCTGCTCTCTGTGCCCCCATCCTCTAGCTGTCTGCAGGGTGAAAGGCCCAGCTGGCACAGGACAAGGACAGCAGAGTCGCAGGCTGTCCCTCAGCTGCCACCTCCCTCCACACCCAGGAGGTCTGCCCTTTGGCTAGGGGTGGCTGGGGCAGTTGCTCTCTGACCCTCTCTCCACAGGGGACTCCTGCCCAGCCTCCCATATCCACACACATCCCTTCCCTGACTCCAGTCTGTCTCGGCCCTGCTGAGCTTCCCTAGCACAAAAAGGCCCTTGTACTCCCTGCCCGCACTGGGTCCCAGACCTAACTGTTTTCCCAGTTCTGGCAGGTTCCTCCAACCCACCCTTGGAGTTCAGCAACAGCCAGAATCTTTCCCCCTCCCCTCCCAGGGTGGGGTCCTGCCCCAGAGCCTCCACACCCCTGGCCTGGGACTTTGGCTTAGCTTGCTAAGCAGACCTAGATCTCAGCCATGTGTCCTGGACCCCTGGAAGAAAATTACATTAAAAGGACACCTTACACCCAAGGGAGCATTCTTGACTATGTTAGGAACCAAACCCCCTCCTAAAAGGGATGCATGGGGCAGGGGCGGTACTTCCAAGCCTCTCACCAAGAGGGAATAGGTACATATGGTAGAGAAAGCCCAGAGCTTAGGGCAGATGATCATTCCTAATGTAGGGAACAGAACAGGGTCATCTGTGGTCTCTGCTGGGTATACATGAGTAGGCTACCCTCTCCACTGACCTCACCTGATTCCTAGTGACTGCAGGGAGCCCCTGCAGGACTGGCACCCCTCAGTACTCGCCCCATCTGGAAGGCAGCCCAGTGAGCGCTCACACGTGACCTGCACCACCATCATCTAGAGCTTGCTAATAACCATTTCATGAATAATTTTCTGCTTTCAATCTTGCTAGTAATTTTTTATAATTTTTTTAATATATTTTTATATTCTTCAGGTTTGCAAGCCGCCCCCACCAGGTGGTAGCATGTACTACAACTGGGATAGCAGCTTCCCAGGAACCTGAGAGGTGGAAAGTATTGTTGCGACATGTGTCCCACAAGTTATTAGGGGACTGTGAAGGGAATGCTAGGCCCGCCAGTTTCTGGTGCTGATGGTATTCCATGATAAAGCCAGATCATCGCCAAGTAAGAGACTGCTGAGCTCCAAGAACGTAAGTGAAGGCTCCCAAAATTATTGCATCTCTTAGCTTTTTTCCGGAGGCAAAGGTATTTCCTGACAATCTTAATGAGTGGAAGTCGCTCCGAACCTCTGGTAAGTAGTTCCACATTAGTTCTTTCACTTCTAACTTTGTGGTTTTTCTTAACTATGTTGTTTGAGGAGAAATGTGGGGTCAAGATTGGTGGACGATTTATCAACAACCTGCGCTATGCTGATGACACAACCCTGCTTGCTGAAACTGAAGAGGACCTGAAGCGCCTGCTGCAGAGTGTCAAGGACTGCAGCCTACAATATGGATTGAGGCTCAATGTCAAGAAGACAAAGATTCTCACCACTGGACCAATTGGCAGCATCAGGATGGATGGTGAAGAAACTGAGATTTACACAGCTTTAGTTTGCTTGGCTCTGTAGTCAACAGTCTTGGCACCAGCAGCCAGGAAATTAAAAGGTGCATTGCCATGGGAAAGTCTGCTGTTAGGGACCTCTCCGAAGTACTGAAGAGCAATGGTGTCTCTCTGGAGACTAAGGTGCGTCTGATACAGGCTATGGTCTTCGCAATCACTTGTTATGCATCAGAGAGTTGGACAATGACCAAGGAGGATAGAAGGAGAATTGATGCCTTTGAGCTGTGGTGCTGGAGAAGAGTATTGAGAATACCATGGACTGCTAGGAAAACAAACAGATTTGTCCTGGAGAGGGTTAAACCGGGTGGCTCCTTGGAGGCAAGGATTCTGAGGCTCCGTCTAACATACTTTGGACATGCTGTGAGGAGAGACCGGTCCTTGGAGAGGGACATCATGCTTGGGAGGGTGGAGGGACAGCACAGGAGAGGAAGGCCCTCTATGAGGTGGATTGATTTGGTGACTGGGATAATTGGAATGGGAGTGTCAGAGACAGTCCGATTGGCACAGGACAGAGCGGAGTTTAGGGCTATTGTACATAGGGTTGCTATGAGTCGCAAGCAACTCGACGGCACATAACAAAACAACATGTTGTTTGAGATTCTTTGTATCTCCCTTGACTCCACACCTAACAGCCTCACTTATCCTGGCCTTGCAAGGGAGCCATTCCTTCAGCTTTGGGGGCAGTATGAACTAAAACAGTTACCATCATTTCTGATAGGTTTTTAATTTCTGTTGTGACTGTGCCTTAAAAAAATGAAAACATCTGCTTCTGAGATGTGACAATTCTCTTGAGGAAGCAGGGACTCCCCCTTCTTAGTAAGTTTGTGTCTCCCCCCCCCCCAGCTTAATCTGGGGTAGATTTTATTTACAGACAAAGGTCATTTAGGCAATTAGGATGATGAAAATAAAGGAGGGAAGTAAGTATTCCCAGAAAGAAAAACAAATCCACAGAGGAAGTCAGGTTAGTTGTAAACGTCACCTTCTGAGAAGCAAAGGGCTAGACCAGATGCTTGCTCCCAACTCTCGAATTCCAAAAGAGACAACTATGTTTAAAGACAGTTATTTTCTAAATTAAGAAACACAAGCGATCCTTGCCTGCTAATCATCTCAGCTGGAGGAAAACCATCCAGCCTAGGCAGGAAGGAAGGAGGTAGACAAACTTTTCTAAAACAGCATCCCAAGTGGCTCCTGCTGGCGAGTCTCCATTTAAAGGTGCTCACGGTTCCGTGAGACCCATGCGTTCCCTAGGCTAGGTGCCCCATTCCTGGACTGAGCTCATGGCTGCCCCTTCCCTGTCTCACCAAGTCTATCAGCTGACACACTGGAGGTGCAAAAGGTGCTGCATCATCAACACATTCCACCATGTCTGCAACGTCCACTGGGACTCAGCCAGTGACCAGAGCCCTGCACACACCCTGGGTGTAAAAACTGAGGCTAGAGAGCTAAAGCAAAATCAAGAGGCTGGAAATTCACTTCTTCAAACTTATTTTAATACCCTTCCCCCAACTCTACTTCCCCCCACCCCATGTTGGGAAAAGCCAAAACAATCTGGCTGGATTTCATTACAAATACATTTTTTTTCATTGTTTAAAGTAAATGCAACATTGTAGCAATAAGGGACTATCCTTGGAAAAGATGAAACCCATATTAACAAAATATGTCATGGAAGAATGCCACTTGGTGATTTCACTGGCTACTTAATAGGCTAAAAAAAGGTCAGAGCTCTGCATGTTCCCTGGGCTTGTCTCCTGCAGTGGGGAAAGGCCTGCCCAGACTCGGTCAAGCCCCGGCAGTCAAGGGGCCCCAGACCCTGACAAAGCAAAGGCGAGGGCAGAAAGGGTAGTCAACAAATGAAGTCCTCAGGTTTCCATTCTAGGCTCATGGGACCAAAGGAGACAGGAAGTAGAGGGAAGGCTTAAAGATGCAGCACTTCTTCAGCCTTGAAAAGAAAAAAAAAAGGATAAATAAAAAAAAAAACACACCCCAACCCAACACTGCAAGATCACTGAATGAGAGGGGAAATAAAAGGAAAAGGAAGTAATTATTTGAAATGATTTAAGTATAGGCCAGCTCACTCGCTCACTCTCTCCCTGGATTTGGACACCATCCTTGAGCACTGTGCTGAATGTGGGACATCCCATGGGCCACTTGGAGGCAATGGTTTTAAGGAACAGAAAAATGTGCATTTGCCTTCATGCACAAAGTTAATGCTATAAAACAGTGTCTGGGACTGACTTCCTGCTGTTCAGCATTCTCTAAGACAACACCCACCTACGACTGTAAGATTACCTGACACTTAGCAGAGTATGAGAGGTCTACAAAGGCTGAGAGCCTGAATGACCAGTGGTATCTTCTGCATGTCAAAGAAATCCTGGTTCTGAGTCCTCAGCTCCTCCTAGCTGCCCTCCCCCAGCCTAGATGCTGCATCTTTAAATATTTCTGGCTGAGCCCTCTTGCCACATATGTCAGTAACATTCCAAGCTGGCTACCACATGTGCAGGCTCTGGCCTCTTTCTCTCTCTACTGTCGAGCGCTCGGCTGTTTCAAGGGCACGCTGGGGCCACGCATCTCCCATTTCAGCTCCATCTTCAGTTGATCATATATCTCAAAACAACCAATTAAAAAAAAAATTTCCAAAAGAATGTTTATATTTGAAATCTCTATTAACCTCCAGGTTTTTGGTTGTTTTTTTAAAAATTCCACTTGATGACTCTAATCCAGTGAGTTAGATCAAGTGTGTGTACAGATGCACATACCAGCACACACAACCAGCAACACTTAGAGTGAGAGATTTGGGGGAGGCTATCTCCTGCCCAGAGATCTAATAGAGGAAAGCTTATGTGCTGATCAAGTTTTAATACGTGGTTAACAAGAATTGTACACCAGTTAGCAGGCACACAAAGGCTGTGGGTAGGACGACCGATGCCTGGGGCATTTCCACTTCCCAGCCCGTTCTCTGCCTACCTGTGCACCGGTTCACAGCCCCTATACTAAGAGAAGCCAAGAGGACTGCATGGACAGATGAACCTTTATTTAAAAAAATAGCACTTCAAATAAATTAAAAGGGACAACCGTCAAGTGTTCAAATTGTGAAGGAATAGTTGAAAACCTAGAGAGATTCCAAGCTGCAGTCTTCTAACCTCATTCTCTGTCCAGTGGCAAAGCTCACACATCTAAGTGCTCCCATCCAATCACTTCCCTACGGCGAGGAAGGAAGCAACTGCAAACAGGAGACCAGATGGAGAAAGCTGCATCTGAATGGAATGAACATTGCCACGTACTTGCTAATACGGGTTTCATTTTCTGACCAAATGTATTCTTTCAAAAATAAAAAAAAGGGAAGGGAAGCTGCATGTTTTTAAAAATTGAAATTATTTATGGATAAAACACTAACTCTAGTGCCTTTAACGGGCAATAGCAACTTTTTTCCTCCGAAGTCAAACACATCCCCACCTGAGCCTCTGTGCTGCAAGCTTCTCAGGAGATGTTACCTAAACTTTATTAAAAGAAAAGAACAAGTTTAAATATAGACACTGGACTAGCCCAGTCTGTATTTTCAAGTCCACATTCTTCATCTGAAGCACTGCATCAGGGACACCCCCTGAGTCTGCATGTTTTCAAGTTCACAGTACATGGAACCAGTTTTTCTTTTTCATTTTTCCTCACTCCGAGCAGCCACACACAGTGACCATTGACGCTGGAACCTCGGGCGGGGCCTTTTCCTATGAGGCCTGGCCAGAGCTGCCCCAGGTTTCTCCTCAATGAGAATCGATGCTGTCATGCTCTATGGATGGGAAAAAGCAAGAAAATAAAAGCACCTGGTACAGGTTTCATGAGATCCATTCGGATTCACTATGTTCCAAACCCGCTGCTGAATGCCATTTGTCCATTTTGCGTGTTCAACAGTCTATGGCCTAGGAGTCGGTCTCAATTCGAAGAACTGTTATTGGACACTCCAGAAGTTGATGCAATAGCAGCTCCAGCAGGGCTACTTGTGGAGACTGACTTTCGGATGTGAGGCAGCAAGTATGGGTCACAGGCCAGCTGCTGAACATCGATACGGTCCTCTTTTCGGTAGGCTAAGCATCTCCGAATAAAAGCCTGCAAAAGAAAGTTTTTTGAGGAGGCCTGAAGCAGACACCCATGCAACCCCAAAGGACACCTGAGGCGCTGTGAGCAAACACATGTCAAAGAGAAGGGCCCTTCTAGGAACCCATAGGCAGAGCCACAGAAGGTAAGGGAGGAATCAGGCAGCGACGCTTTTCTCCTTCCCAATCATACCCCATTGAGGGTGCTGAGCAGTTCCCAATGTGCAGAAAGGGCACTGTGTCCAACACTTCTGCAGCCAAAGCACTAAGATAAAGGGAAGGACCCCTCACTGCCTAGGCTTTTGGATGGGCACAGTCCAACTACATCTACAAGCTGATTAAGTGACAAACTAATGAGAAACTAACCATTTTCATCATTATCGTGACATAACACACTGTACAATGTTTCTTTGTGTGCACTAATGTGACAAGCTGCGTGCTTTTCACAAAATGTGCAAGCCCTTGCACCTTCGTTTCTGATATGTGCTATTTGTGTATGCAATACTTCCATGAGTGTGTCATATGGGGGAAATATGCTACTTCTTCTTTCCTAAGAAGAAAATGAAGCAAATAATTACTTGACAGACATCCAAGCAGTGAAAGGATGCCTAAGATAGTACCTGCAGCCTATAAGTACAGCATACTGTGAGAAGGGATCCAAATTTACTACCAACATGGAGGTTTCCTTGCAGAAACAACCACTTGGAGATTTTACAATAAAGACTCTCGTTAAATATGTAATCTCTATTTTTCTGTTTGTTGTTATATACCCTCACTTTTTAATCACATAGTCCATTCAATCAAAGTTCTATAATGTAGCCATTTTTAACTGAATAAATTTTAAAAATCCGATAAGCTATTAATTTTCTATGTTTTCATATTTAACTAGCAAAACATAAGAGTGTAATGCCAACCCTTGTTTTTCAAAGTAAAATACACTTAAAGTAGGAATGAAACAAATTTACAAAATTAATATAAGACCAAAGAGTAAATATTTCTCCAGAGAATGCCATTGCTACTCAATAGTGCTATGCTTTTTCCTGAGGAGATACAAACAGTAAGTGTGCTAGTTGATCAGATTCTTTAAAAATGACTATTTTGTTCTTTAGGGTTCTCTTGGAGATTAATCTTTGCATACAAGCTTTAGAGGAACTACAGTGATATTGATGGGACAATGGAATTGAAAGACAAAGCAACATTCATTAAATAAGAAATTATTAACATTAAATAATATTGCTTAATAACATTATTTTTACACTGCCGAAAAGAATATAATGAACCATGGCCTGTAAATTTGGAGTGAATATTTAGTGAGGTAACTAACTGGAAGAAGTAGAATTCAACAGGCTTGCTTGGGCTGCACAGGGGTCAATGGGACTTACTTTTGAATTTTCTCTCTGCACTGTCACCAACATGGGCTGAAGAAACATCAATCAGATCATATCACTATCCTAAGACCACCAACTGCTTTCCTTTGTATTTTACCAGTTAGATCTGCCCACCACACTCATCTCTACTCTGCCTGCGCTAGGGCCTGTGGAGCTCATGCTCAAACCCAAGCTCTAGTCTCTGTTTAGAAGACTTTCCCCCACCAACAATATCAACAGTCATTGCCTTCTTTAAATCTGTTACTTTTTCCTACCCTTCATATCTACTTTTTGATTGCATGGAGTTTGTCTTCTGTCACCTTAGCTTTCCTCATTTTATGGGAACAGTTCTCAGATTCTTGGTCCACTTACCTAGACTAACCAATCTGAAGATTATTTTATAAATACTATCACCTTCTACATCTCTTTTCTCTATCATCGCTCACTTAGCCAATTAATATCTCTTTCTATACTTCTTTGCAAGTTGTTGAACAAAGTGTAGGAAAATTCAGTTTGCCAATGGTTGTCATTAAATATTCAAACTTTCTAATCTTACCTGGCCCCTAACACTACTCAAAATTCCTTCTATGAGATTCTAATCTGCTTACTTTTCCATTTTTGTTGCTGTTGTTATGTACCATAAAGTTGGAACTGACTTAGAGCTGACCTTCCAGTGTATTTTATCACACGGGATAATCTCAAGGGAGGAGATTACGGGGATAATCTCAAGGGAGGAGATTACCCATTCTTCTCCCACAGAGAAGCTGGTGGGTTTGAACAGCATGCTTTTGGAATTGCAGCACAGCTTCTTGCCACTAGGCCACCAGTGCTCTCTCATTTTCTATAGCAGATAAGTTAAACTTTACAAAGGATGAGGATGTGCAGGGGTCAGGGGGGATTAATCACAGGATTGTACAATTTGATACATGGGGAAAGGTGAGAAAAACTGGAGGATTCTGTTCTGGAAAATAATGTATTCGAATTTTTAAAATAAACTAGTATAATAATTTTTAAAAAATTAAACAAAGGGTAAAAAAAGGAGGCTTTCCCCCTAAATGTCCATATGGCTTCAATCTTCACTACTTTCAAGCTTCTACTGAGGCTCTCATTTCATCACTCAGGTCTGTCCTTGCAATGCCATTTAAGAGCAACTCCTACCTCCATGCCCTCTATCCAACTCTGACTTACTTTCTTCCTAATATTAATCACCATCTGAAATGAGCTAGGCTTTCTGCTTATTTGCATCTTTCATTTAGTAAATTGTAACCTTTTAAATGCAGGTCTTTTGCTATTTAATTCACATTTCTATTCCTACTACCTACAACAATGCCTAGTGTTTACCAGGCACTCTAATTATTTGTTGTTGGAGGTGTGGAAGGAAACAGTGCAGGCAATTGGGGAAATGCACAATTAGAAGGAAGAAGATTTTTTAAAAAATGAAGACGATGAGGAAGATTGCAGAGAATTAGTGGAAAGATTTGGATAGATTTCTGTACTATTCAGAGTGGGGTACATCTAACAAGTCTCTAAAGTTTGAGGAATATTTGTTTATCTACTTACTGAATAAATACCAATATCTCATCAAAGTGGTATAAGGGAAATGGTTTTAAAAGCTTGGTGGATGAGGATAATGAGAGAGCAGCCAAGCAGCTCACTCAAATCTCAGTGCTGAACGACAGCAGGAGGTATCAACTACTGGGTGCTGCTATTGACTGAATTGTGTTCCACAAAATATGGGTTGTAAATCCTAACCAACTGCCTATAATTCTAACTAGGAATGGGTTGCCTTTAGTCAATCTCTTTTGAGATATAAAAAAAGATGATCAAAGGTGGAGAGAACCAAAGGTGGAGTCAGACAAATGCCAAGATGTATGGAGATCTCCAAGGAACAAAGGAGATGCTGAAAAAATGTGGAACTTCCAGAGCTGAAAAAGGCTGTCCAACTAGAGCTGGTGCCCTGAATCCACACTTACAGCCACCTGAATTGTGCGAAAAGAAATGACTCAAGTCATTGACGTGTGATACTTCTGTTCTAACAGCACCAGTTAAATAATAACAGGCCATGTGAGCGGCACAACCACTTTTTATGGAAGCCGTTTTGCTCTTCATATTTTATAGCAGCTGTTCAAAAGGTTTAAGTACTCTTGCCCAAAGCCACACAACTATTCAATGCAAAGCGGACACTACGATTTGGATTCAAAGCTGGGTCTCTCTGCACTCACTGGCCTACATTTGCCCTGGGCACGTTATCAGAGGACCTCTTTGCAGATTTACTTTTGTGATTATGTAGTGTTAATACTGTTGAATGATCAAAGGCAGGAAGCCATCAACCAGGAATCAGAAATATTTTGAAAAAGTGGCTCTTTCCTAACCTACTTTACATGGCCACACTGGGAGGACACCAAAACACAAAGAAATGAAACCAGGTCTGTAACTCTTCACACTGACGTTAAAAAATGTCAAATGATCACAGCATTGACAGAAGTTGACTATTTAAATAAAACTAGTTAATATATAAAAAAGTAAAATCTGGTTTGCACATGTATCAAAGCTTAAGTGATTAAAATGCCCTTTTCCCACACTCATTCCATGTTTCTTCTACTTCAATTAGTTTTTCATAATGCCCGCACCAACTGCTGCCACATTTATTGCCATGACCACTCATTTGCCATTTAACTTCAGGATCCTTTATATTCTACTAGGTTCACGTTCCCTGGCCAGGCTCTATGCTGACATCCTGCATGTGGGTAGCCACACTCCCAAGAAGCTCTCATCAGCAGAGTATGTTCTTTCCTCTCTGTCTATAGGGAGCCTGTATCATCGTCTGACATACTTTGGACATGTTGTAAGGAGGGACAGGTCCTTGGAGAGGGACGTCATGCTTGGGAGGGTGGAGGGACGGCACAAGAGGGGAAGACCCTCTATGAGGTGGATTGATTCAGTGACTGGGGTAATCGGGATCGGTGTGTCAGAGGCAGTGCGACTGGCACAGGATAGAGCAGGGTTTAGGGCTGTTGTACACAGGGTTGCTATGAGTGGCAAACGACTCGATGGCACATAACAACAACAACAAAAACAACAAATAAATAAATAAAATTTAAAAACCCACCCATTAATAGTTCCAGTAATAGACTCAGATGTTGGAATGGGCAGGGTGTAAGTAACATTCTTCTGCCGCTTGCCCTTGTGGTGATTTTATTGCTGGGAGAGAGCTCTGGTGGCTTAGTCGTAAGAAGCTGCCCTGGAATACTGAAGGCACATGGTTCAAATCCACCAGCTGCTCCTCTGGAGAAGGATGGGCAATCTCCTCCCGTGCCATTAACTGGCTCTGAAAATCTGCTGAAGGGTCAGCTGTGGGTTGGTTCCAACTCAAAGGTACACAACAGGGGAATCATTTCAGGTGGCCAGTGGGTCAAAACTTACCTTTGCTTCAGGTGTTACTACTGGCTTTGGCGGAAACTGCACTTCAGTAGCTTTGAGGATGGTATTCTCTTGTAGAATATCTTGCTGGGACTGGTTATGACCAAAAGGCTACCAGATAAAATTAAACAAACACAAACAAACATAGGTGAGTTTCTGGTCAAAACAAAAGAAATCATTCAAAATCACAGGAAGGTATAGAAGAAGACATCCCCTGATGAGAACAGCTGGGATGGAGATGATCTCTAACACTGATTTTAAAGGGAAAAGATTCTGAACTTAGGGTCTACAACTAGGTCACAGCAGGATGGGACCAGAAATAGCATCATCTATGTCACAATGTCACTACTAAGTTTTGATGATAGCAAAAAAAGAAAAAGAAAAAAAAAGGTTCAAAGCAAAAACTCTTTAGTTTTAAGTAGTACCAGTGCATTTAAGCAACATAGGTGGCATGTGCAACTGGTAGACTCAAGACAGAGAAAAAGAGGTGAAAAAGCAAGTTAAAAGTAAAACAGTTAAGCTAAAACCAAACCCACTGCTATTAATCAATTCCAAGCACTACCAAAACGTTCAATGCCATCCACACACAAAGACACCCCTCTACATTTGGTTTCCAAACCTGTAAATTTTAATGGGAGAAGACGGCTTATCTTTCTGTCAAGGAGATGCTGGTATAGTTAAATAGCCAACTTTTCAGCTAGCAGCCAGACACTGCAGCACCAGGACTTAGAATGGGTAAAACAAACCAAAAAACCCCAAACCCACTGCTATCAAGCTCAACTCCAAAGGTCCTCTCCACTGGGTTTCCAAGGCTGTCAAACCTAACATACTAGGTAACATACTAAGTCTAGGAGAAAAGACAAATCTGCAATTTATTACTAGGTTTCTGTTGTTGACTGCTGTTGAGGTGAGCACGACTCATAGCAGCCCTATGAACAAAAGACCTAAAGTTTTTCTATAACTGTTATCAGTTATCAAAGTTCAGAGTGTCCAGAAGCATGTGGTTTAGGAAATGGATGCCACTCCTGTTTCCAAACCTGTCAAACTGGGAGCTCCACCAGACACTGGGAAAATCTGCTGTCAGGGACCTCTCCAGAGTGCTGAAAAGCAATGATGCCAGTCTAGAGACAAAGGCGCGCCTAATCCAGGCCATGGTCTTAACAATTAATTGTTAAGCTTCAAAGAGCTGGATAATGACTAAGGGTGAAAGAAAAAGAATCAATGCTTTCGAGTTGTGGTGCTGTAGAATAATCTTGAACATACCATGAATTGCTGAGAAAACAAACAGGTTTGTCTTGGAGAGACAAGTCTCTCCTTGGAGGCTAGGATTTTGAAGCTCCATCTCACAAACTTTGAGCACATGGCCAAGAGAGACTGGTCCTTGGAGAATATCATGCTCAGAAGGGTGGAGGAACAGCCAAGAAAAAGATGACCCCAGATGAGATGGATTGCTACAGCATCTGTGGCAATTGGGGTCAGTGTGTTGGAACTACTGAGACGGGCTCAGGACAGAGCAGGCTTCTGAGATGCTTTACAAAGGGTCGTTATAGGTTGCAGGTGACTCAACAGCACATAAAAACAACATACTCTATTGGTGGTTTTTTATTTAAGCCTCTTGTTAAGAGTTAACAAGACCTTGGGGAGGAACTTTGTATTTAAAAGTCAGTTGGTATTATATTTTGGAAGAACTAGGTTATTACTTTTACAAATGAAGAGAAATCTTGGTCCAAGTTAAGAGAAGATACTTTCTGACATCACCTCCCTACACAAGAATAGGTAATGAAAAGGAGTTCTAGATGTATTTCCAATTTCAGTTCCTGGGTTCCTTAAGAATGGCCCTTGAGAAGGTGGCGTATTATTTATTTGTATATTGCTTTAAAAAAATTTTAGACATTGTAAGCTACAAATCTTTCTCACAAGAAAAATGTGTCATCACTAGACCGGGCCCTTCCCCCCTTACCTTCCTTCCATAAAGACACTGGTAGAAGATCACACCCACAGACCAGACGTCAACTTTATTTGAGATCTTTGGCGGTTCTTTCCCAACCACAAAACACTCTGGTGGTAAATACCTGAGACAACAGGGAAATAAAATTCTTAGAAAACTAACTACATCAAGCTAAGCCATGTGCCTACCAAAAGGCAAAGGAGAAAATCTTGTTAATACAAATATGTGAATTTTATCAACTGGCAAAGCAATTTAGATGTGGCTGGAAAAAGTCAATGAAAATAACTCAGGGTGGTCTGTCAAAAAAAATTCTACTGTTGTCAAGTCAATTCTGATTAATGGAAACACGTCACTGGGTTTCTGAGGTTGTAAATCTTGACAGGAGTTTGCCTATTTTTCTCTTGGTGGATTTGAACTTCCAGGCTTTTAACATCCTGATATATCAAAACACTACATCACCTGGGCTCCACAGGCCTTAAAATACATTTTTCAATTTACCAAGAGAAATATTCTCCCTCATCTCAATGGTCTTTTCCAGGACTGTGCAACACGTAAGCACCATTTAATGTACTGGAGAGGGATGGGGCAAAAAAGTGCATTCCATTTTGAAATAGCTCAGTTGATAAATACAATTTAAAGTGACAGAGTCTTCCTTTCACGTTGGTTAAGGGGGCTTTCTGTAACTTCCAAATGAATTCATGACCAAGTATAACTCTCTGAGGGGAGAGGCTGTTCTGTCTTCTTTAGATGGCCTCCTTGGGAAATCTGGGAAGAAAACAACTTTAGTATCTAATCAGCAGTGACATTAAAGCCAAAATGGTCAGAAACTGTTTACATTTCTTACTTTAAATGTGACCAGGGGCTTACTGGAAGGCTAACAAAAAGCCAAACAAAATAGTTATTGTTAGCACAGTTCGATCAATTCTCATCTGAATTCCTCCCTCCCCATGACTGGTCTCTTAAGACACTATAGATGGATGGTCAACCACACAACCAAATCTTATGGTTTAAATGCCTCTTGGTATTAAAAAACCCAAACAAATATGCCTCCACTCATTGCCTGGAGACTTAGCCCTAGCACAGCTAGAATGTAGAATTTTGAATATAACCAATCAATTTTCACAGATTTCATGCTGACAAAATCTATTCTGTGACAAACTCTTCATTTTGAACCCTGTTGTGTTCCAGGTGTAATAATCTAAACTTACTGCTTGAAGGGGATGACAAGAGGTGCGGAGGAACAAATAGTCCCTCTTCTATCAGTGCTCTCTATCCAATTTAAGTTTCAGAAGTTCTCCTCTTTCACTAAGTAGCTTCATATTCTCATTCCTTATGTTTAACAGACTTTTTGGATGATTAATATTTCTAATTATATTATTATGCCACAAAAAAATTTTAGCTAAAATATACCTTCAAGAATAAAAATTTAGATGCAGAATTCAGTAAGAAAAAAGATAAATTAAAATGAGAAAGGGAAGATTTATGAAAAATTTATAAAAAGAATAGCTTTTCTTTGCAATACCGCTAAAACCTCCCTGAGCCTTAGAGTTCATGGTTCTTAATTTAATATACTTAAGCATGACTTTGGATAAGTAACAAATACTACTTTTTTTCTAGAATTACAGTGTATTTCACTTTTTCATGGAGATGATAGGAAAGAACAGGAACAGTATTAAGTGTTAGAATACTTAACTATTTGAATGAAAAACTAACATTACTTCATTTATAGATAAACAGAGGCATAGAAAGAGATTTACTTGTCTGAAGTAACTACACCCTTTGTAGTCTAAACATTTTCCTGATAAGTTAGTTTTTTCATTCAAATAGTTAATTATTCTAATTCCTATCAAGGACTTTGGGGAAGTGTAGAAGGTAGTTTTAAGGTACTCAGCTCCAAGACAAACACAGTTATATATTCCATCAGAAGTGTCTTTATACAGAAAAATTATTTTCAAGACTTAGTCTAAAAAAGTAGTCAACACAATTCTGGAACAACCAACTACTGCAAACAGACACTCGGAATTTTTTTAAATTATTATTTTATGTGTATGTGTGTGTGTGTGTGTGTGTGTGTACTGTCAAATCGGATCTGACTGGTACAGGAGGAGATTGTCCCTCCTTTCCCGGCAGAGCATCTGGTAGATTTGAACCGTGCACCTCTGGGATTGCAGTGCAGCTTCTTGCCACTAGGCCACCAGAGCTCACCTGTTCTTTTTTTTAAAATAAATAAATAAATAAATAAATAATTATTGTACTTTATTATTTGTGTGTACCGTCAAATCAGATCTGACTGGTACAGTAGGAGATTGTCCCTCCTTCTCCAGCAGAGCATCTGGTGGATTCGAACCTCTTACCTCTTCTTGCCACTAGGCCACCAGAGCTCCCTAGATATTCAGAATCTGTTCTATGCTTCCTGCCTGTTTTGTTGTTGGTTTTGTGTGTGTGTGTGTGTGTGTGTGTGTTTTTGTCATCAAAAGTCCTAAGACAATGACACACTGAGGACAAATTAGGGACTATGAGAATATTTCTACATTAAGTTTCTAAGATCTTCATAAAAATCCGTCCTTGATTATCTCAGAAGCACCCTTTCTGTTAATCATTAGGAAAATCTCAAGCATATGCTAAAATAGAACAGGAAAATAATGTTCCAGGTAGCCATTATCCAGCTTCAGTAATTATCAACACATGGCCAATCTTTGTTCATTTATTATCTATCTCCCAACACTGATTTGAAGCAAATCCCAGATATATATAGTTTTGTTCATTTCAAACACTGAATTTTGTTGCTGGGTAGACTAGAACTCTTAGGAAAAACAAATTTGAACCTTGTTCTACCCTATGCCATCCTCACAATTTCCAATTTGCTCAAGTCCATCGCTGCACGCATTGTGTCAATCCATCCTGTTGAGGGTCTTCCTCTCTTTCTGATTGTCTGACCCCACATCTTTTCAAACATGTCTTTTTCCAAGGACTGGCTGATAATATGCTTAAAGTCTGTGAGACAAAGTTTCACTGAGCTTACTGAGTATTCTGGTTGCACTTTTTTCCAAGATGGACTTGTTTGTTCCTTTGGCTATTAACGGGATATTTAGTACTCTTCTATACCACCACAATAGCTTTTTCTGACTTCCCTATTTGTGGTCCAATTTTCAGATGAGGCACAGAAAGTGAATCAAAACCCCATGGCTTGGATCAAGTACATCTTAATCTATAAACTTGACAATGTTGTTCTTCAGCACTTTGTAATGGTCCCTGACAGCAGCTTTTCCCAATTTTTTTATTTCCTAACTGTTATTACCAAGGGTGGATTCAAGTAAAATTAAATCACTGACAACATCAATCTTTCTCCACCTATCACAATGTTGACTACTGAACTAGTGGTGAGAATGTCTGTTTTCTTGCTGTTGAGCTGTAATCCGTAAGCAAGGCTGTGTCATCTGCATAATGCAGATGTTGATGTGTTGATAAGTTTTCCTCCAATCCTGATGCCACAGTCTTCACGTAGTCAAGTTCCTTGAATGATTTGTTCAGCATACAAATTGAACAGGTATGAATAAAGGACACAAGCTTGATGTACAACTTTTCCAAATATAAACTACTCAGTGTTTCCTTCTTCTGACAACTACTTCTTGGTTTATGTGTAAGCCCCTCCCTTTTTAATTCATTTCAATGAAAATTTACAGAGTCTTTGAGACTCCCATTCTTCTTAATGCTCAATTTTTTTTATGATCCACACAGTCAAATGCCTTTGCATAGTTAACAAAACACAATATGGTTCTGGTATTCTTTTTTTTTTTTTAATTGGTTCTGGTATTCTTGACTTGTAGCCAAGACTAATCATATATTATCAATAATATCTCTCATTTCACAGCCTCTTCTTTTTTTTCCACAGCCTCTTCTTAATCAGCTGGAATTTCTGGAAGTTATTATACTATTCCAATAGGTTTTGAATAACATTGGGAAACAATGAGGAAATTAATTTATATGAAACAACTACAACTTTTAAAAAATCCAAACAAAAACGAAGTTACCCCAGCAGAAAGTTCAAATCCACAGTTGTGTGGATTTATATATAGTAATGGTATAGACCTGGTCCCAGAGTTTCCAATAGCATATATTTTTGCATGTTTAACTGGTGACAGGAACACCAACCCACAGTCACAACCACAGTGAATAAACACACTGTAAATGTAGCTTCTATTTTAAACCTAGAATTTTGGAGTTTTAATTTAGGACTGATTTTCACTATAGGTACTTTCAACAAGCAATGGAAAAGTACATTTTTTTGTTGTTGTTCATGGTGTTATTAGCAAGATTTAGTTCAGGAGAGGCAACCCTTCTCCTCTATCTGCTTCCTTACAAGTATTTTCATCCCAAAGTCAATATGCTCCTAAGACCGAGTGCACTCCCATCCCAGAGAGAAGCGGTTTGACTAGCTGAAATTTAATGCTATGTGCCAGCCCTGTCTTGGTGCTAGTGAAGGTTTTCTCTAGGTTCAGAAGAGCATGTTCTAATATGTTCCTTATTGTTCCTATGTCTTTCCACTTTGGAAATAAAAAGGAGGCTCTGTTATTTAAAACTCTTTTACAATAACAAAGTTACAGTCCAACATGTAGGTGTATTTTGTAATGTTGTCTAAGGCAACAGTAGGCAGAAGCAGAATAGGTCATAAGACAGGCAAGTGGAGTCAGCTGTGGACTGGGAGAAGAAAAACCACAGACGAGAAGACTGTGTCTCAAAATCTTTTATACTGTGGTTCTCAGAAATGGATAAACTTCTTTGGTAAAGAGTACTCACTTTTTTCCTGCATAAATTTCATGTGATGCTGTGGTTATTTTACTTCTTGCTATTTGTAACTCTTTAGTTCTTGAGAGTCCATCATCCTTGGGCTACTTATACCATGAGCTTATAAAAACAGGCCTGCATTTATCTGAAAAGAATTTAGGACCAGCCTTTATATCACATCCTGTGAACAATCTCATGCAAGGCCACCTTGTGCATGAAACACGGATCTCAAACACTTAACCATACAGTCTCTCAGCAGTGTTCAAAAAAGAAAGAAAATTAAGATAAACTGATGAAAATATAAAGAATCAAACTATGTAGATGTAGTAACTATTTGGGATGGTGGCAGTGGAGGGATTCTGCCTCAGCATACAGTGCACAAATATTAATTATGAATTACCAACCCTTCAGTAAAGCAGGCAAGTACATCCGCACCAGTCCTGGCAGCCTCCTGAGTACCTACCAGTAAGTCCCAGCACCTTGTGACGTTAGCTCCATGCCATCCACTGAATTGTAGCTATCGTCATCCATGATCTTGGAAAGACCAAAATCGGTGATTTTTATCTCTCCACATGCTGTACCATTTACTAAAAGAATATTACCTAAAAACCAAAATGTTAAAATCTTATAAATAAGCAGAAATTTACTGATTAAGAGAAGCAGATATCTATCTATCTATCTCTTTATCTATATATAGATAAGAGTTAAACAACAAATTCTTGCATATAAAAGTAAACATCAGGCTCCCTTCGATTAAGTAATATAGACTCCCAATGCTGGACAGGGTCCTCAGTGTTGGTTACTGACTTCTATTTTCCAAGAATGACCTGTTTAACGGTCAAAAAATGACTACTGGGGTGGGGGTGGGGTGACAGCGGCAGCAGTAGATTGAGGACCAATAAGTAAATACTACTTTTAAAGCTGGTCAGAATAGTGGGAAAAACTGACTGAACTCTCTGTAAGGATCTCTAAACCACGATGTTCAGAATATTGTAGTTAGAGGTGGGGGTGGGGAGGAAAGAAAGAAAAGCAGGTATGCAAGGGAGTCAAACAAGCACCATAGCACCACCTACAGGCACCGTAGCAGGAAAACACAGACAAAAAGTGATGGGGAAACTTCCCACACCGCTTCACTAGAATTCATGTATTATTTTTCAGCCATCTGAACGGTATTAAAACACTAAATAGTGAAATTAGCATGAAGCTTCCAGGAAAGGAAAGAAAAATCAATTAACTACATCAATCAACAAAAAAAGAAAGAGGTGAAGATGAAGCATTTTCCTAAAAACAAAAACAACCAAACCCCAAGCTAAATTACTAGAAACGTAGGCATAGCACATATTTTCTTAAAACAGTAAAAATCCAACTCAACTGAGGATAATAATAATATACTAAAAACAAATAGGAGGATAAACAAAAAAGCAAAGTGATGTGGAAGTCTATAGGCTCTTGTGATGACTGTTTCTCCTCTTTGCTGCTGCTCCAAATCAGAGAATAACTGTACAACAGATGAAAATGCTCTATTCGGAACATGAGATGGGAGGCATATATGCAAAGTAAGCTATGAACTTTGTGGGCACGTAACAGAGATTTGGAGTAGAGGAAATGCTACAAGGTGTGAGTAATGGGAAAAACAAAACTGAACTTGCCAGGACAGTTAGTTCTTAACCAGACTGACATCACAAAGTGCCCTAAAGACAAGGCCATTGTTCTCCCAGAGACATCAGGACTCACTTATCAGACTCAGTCCTGTGATTCATTTTCCCACACCTACCCCTGTGTTAAAAGTTACCATGTCTTTTTAGTTCCTGCCAAACTCTCTAACTTTTTAAAATTACAAAGAGTAAAGCCAAGCTACCAATCCTATCTTTTAAAAGTTAGACTTACCTGGTTTGAGGTCATAGTGTATGATGGGAGGTTTGATTTCATTTAAGTACTTTAAAGCATTCACAATCTGCATGATAATGGATCGGGCCTCTTTCTCTGACATTAATTTATGCTGTTTCAGGTAGAAGTCCAGATCATTTCCCTCACAATATTCTAATACTGTACAAAACCTATAATAAAATAGATTAGTGTTTAACAATGGGAGAACAGCAACTGCTTTAAGCCTATCTAGACCATTTCTAGAGAAAAGTCAGGATATTCTTCCTTCCTTCTTTGGTCTTTAAACTATTATCTACTCCCTATACCCCCTTCTCCCCCAACAGTATTATAACTACTAAAGCCGTTTATAAAAAGAAATGGTTTATTCTCTTGGCACCAAGGCTGCATACCCTCCACACACTGGTTTCTGCTGTGCTAAAAGTTCACCCACAATACATTTCTCTCTTCTTGAATCTAGGTGACAAAATACTGATAAGAATTGACAAGACATCTTTGTACTATGATTTCCTTTCGGGTGGATTTTGCTAAGTGAAACTTGTTAAGTAAACTTTTTCTTTCTTTTTTTTTATTTTTTTATTGTATTATTTTTACGTGTACCGTCAAATCAGATCTGACTGGTACAGGAGGAGATTGCCTCCTCCTTCTCCAGCAGAGCATCTGTAAATTTTTTTCTTAAAGATTTTTTTTCACAATGAAAAAAAAAATTGACAAGACAATAAACTAACAATCTTCCTGGAAACTCTCATTCCCTATCATGTCATGCACCCATTTCTAAAGCAGCACACTGATCATACTCGTAATACTCAGCTGCAAACATCAGATTACATAACCCTGAGAGCTGGCAGTGAAGAAGATGCACATCACAAGAACTCGTTGCTGAAGAAATCTGGGAACAATAATGCATTTGAATTTCCCCTCACTAAACAGAAGGTGTAAAAGAGCTTTTTATAGTACCTGTGATTCCAATGCAGTGTTATAGTGTATGAGAGCCTCTTCTTACACTTATATTCTATTATATATACCCAAATTTAAAATTACATATACTATTCATGATAAAGCTTTGGGCATGCTGCTAGGAGAGGCTATTCCTTGGAGAAGGATATATCATGCTTGGAAAGGTGGAGGGCTCACAAAGAGAGGAAGACTCTCAACAAACGGATTGACACAGTGACTGCTAAAATGGGCTTGAACGCATCAGAAATTGTGAGGATGGCACAGGACAGGACAGGCTTCTGATCTGTTGTTCAGAGGGTCTCTATGAGTTATACTTGACTTGAAGACACCTAACAACAACAACATGCCATTCATGACTAAGGGTCACGTTTCTATATTCCAATCCCATTATTAACTAAGTAAGTTTCCCTGAACAGTTTGAATACTGCCAGAAGATGGTGTTGTTACCTTTTGAACTATCTTAAGTTATAACAATATGGAGGTCTATTTGTCAGGGTGTACCAGGAAACAGAAACCACTTGAATACTTAAATTCAAAAGGCTATACTTTATAAATAATCATAGGAATGATGACAAAGACAAAATGGCTGGTAACTCACTCCAGAGAAGTAGGAGGAGAGATGGTGCAAGCCAAACCCAGGGGCCAGGTACCATGGGAAAAGAACCCATAGTGGTGCAATGGTGGGTGGGATGCAGGAGGACAGAAGACCTTGGCTTCTCCCCACTCTCTATATCCTGCTGGTTGAGCCCAGTTAGATGCCAACTGTCCCAAGAACCAGATAAACATTGTACACAAAGGCCAGCCTACCTGTGTTGCAGAGCAGGGGAAGGGTGAGGAACTGATGTGAGATCATGGCAACCACTATGAACTACTAAGCATTTTGAAGTCTCAAGCAAACTAAACACATATGGTCCCACAGAATCTTCAAATTGAACAATAGCTTATGTTTCTCATGAGACATACCAGGGCATGTCTAGGACCTATTTAAAAATAAATGTCTGTTTGAATTGTATACATTATCAGATCTGAGATGCCACAGTCTGAAACACAGATTCTCAATAGTCAGTAGCTGGTTCTCTGACTCCAACATAAGATAGAAATAAAATCTCATTTTTAACACTCTAACAACTTTAAGATAAGAAGTGATGGTCTGAGTTATTTTTAATGAAAATCACCACATGCATTATAGAAAATAGTGAACAATTCAGGAATAGTACAGAATCAACTCAATTTTCCCTATTAGTAAAGTTAAATGGGTCATTTTGGAGACAAACATGAGGCCCTATCTTGTATTGAAGAAATTTACTCAGTGCTACACTAGGAAGCTACTTCTGTGAAGACCTATCCCTTCCTCCACTGAGCTAGGAAGCCTCTAGTTTCCTCACTCAGAAAGGAACATTTCAGAACCTCACTTCACACTAAAAATACAAGGCCATACTGGTAACAAGGGAATCCTACTAAGAGAGGAAATTTCCAAGAGGATGGAAGAGAGGACAGTTTGTTTTGAAAGGGAGTTATGGTTTTCTTTGAGCTCTGTTTCAAATTTGAGTTAATTCTCTGTATATAAATCTCTAAATAGCTTCAGGCAAGAATAAGGCACAACTCCTAGAATCACCGTGGAAGGCTAATGGTCTAGACCTTGGATATTTTCCTGACTCAGTACACACTCCTAGAGAGAAAATATTCCCAAATACTTAACTATTTTTAAACTCTTGTAAATCTAAAGATTCTGAAGCTTCTATATACCAGGTACCAAAATGCAACAAGATCTTAGACAAATAATTTCATTTTTCTCATCCTCAACAAGTCTTCAAATCTCCTTCTATAAAATGGATACATGAACCCTTAGATTCCTTCCAATCCTAAGAACCTTTGATCTTTGAGCCCATGAATTCATACTTTAACAGGAAGCACACTGGGCTATGGTTTCATTTGTGGCATCTTTGTGCCCTGTTCTAAGGGGAGGGATGTAAAAATCTGCAAGGATGTAAAAATGGTTTTTTGAAATGGACATGAGGCTCTATCTTGTATTGAAATTTACTCAGTGCTACACTAGGAAGCTACTTCTGTGAAGAGTTAGCCCTTCCTCCACTGAGCTGAGAAGCCTCTAGTTTCTGGTTTCCATCAGCATTTCCAGGGTAAGGTTAAGGAGAGACTCCAACAGAGGCAATGAAGCACCAATCTATGCTAGCTCCCAAGAGTCAGCTGTTAAATTTTCAGAAATTTTATGAACTGGATTAAATCACTGGTAAGACAAATAGATAAACATGCTGTGGTGAAAGAAGCCAGTCACAGATGTCCAGTACTACATAATCCTAAACATATGAAAGTCCAGGACAAGGAACTCTATAAAGACAGTAAGAAGATTAGTGACTGTTTACTGCTGGGGAGACAGGAAGCTCAAGGGACTTGGGGATAATAGATAAAGGGTTCAGGTCTCGTTTTTGAGTTGCTAAAAATGTCTTGTGGTGATATAATCATAGTTATACATATATATCTATGAATATACTAACAATCATTTAATTGTATACTTCAAATGGGAGAATTATAAGGTATGTGGATTATATCTCAATCCCAAAACTTAAATTCCCTGCCATAAAGTCAATTTCCACACATATTAACCCTATAAGAGACAGAGGTGAACTGGACTACTGAGGCTTCAAAACTTAATAGGAACAGACCGCCTCATCTCTCTGCTATGGAGCAGATGGTGGGTTTGAACCACCAACCTAGTTAGCAGCCTAAAAGCTAACTCACTATATGACCAAGGCTGCTTTCATATCTCAACAACTGTTTAAACAACAGAAAATGTTAGTAACTTGAAACTGTCTAGGGTGGCAATATTTATTCTACAGAAACGGGCAAACACTATAAATTGGCCCCTCTCTATACCATTAAAGTAGCCATGATGCCCTAGTGGTAAGAAGCTGTGCTACAATCCTGAAGGCATGCAGTTTGAGGACACCATCTGCTCTGCGGGAAGAGGATAGGCAATATCCTCCCAATTAACTGCCTCTCAAAACCTGGTGGAGGGTCAGCTATGGGTCGGTTCCAACTTGGTGGCACATTACAAAAACAACAATTATACCACCAAAGAAGCTCTGGTTGCCCAATGGTAAGAAATCACACAATTCCAAAGGCACATGGTAGAAATCCACCATCTGCTCCACAGAAGAAGGATGGGCAATCTCCTCCCATGTTATTTACCACCTATGAAAATGTGCTGGAGGGTCAGTTATGTGTTGGTTCCAACTCAACAAGATGTAACAACTATACTACCAAAGTGGCTGTAAAACATTTGTCAACACACAATTTGTCCTCTGGTCAAGAGGTGTTCTTCTGCTCGCCCAAATCTGAATTCACATATGGTTTTTCCCTTACTTTTTCAAAATTTGCTTTACACTACTTCACTCTATGAAAGACCTGCATTAGTCCATGTTTTCACTAACTAAAAAAAAAAAAATCAAAAAGCGTTTTCAGATTTATTAAAAAGGGCAAAAATAGCAGTCAGTGCTTTGTTTGCAGGGAGTGCTTTGAAAAAGCCCCTTGGCTCCTTTCCCAGTCAGTACATCGAGTTTCTCAGGATCTAGCTGCCACAGCTTTGAACTGTGTCAACACTACATATGTGGGTGTTTTATAGGTTCTTTGTGTTATCTGGTATTGTATTAGGTCACTTTTGTATCAAGGAATGAACAAAAAGATTTTCCCGTGTAAATTAAAGGTACTTTATGACTTAAAAAGTTTCATAGAAATACTAGTTTCAGATAACAGAGGAAACCTGTATTAGAACAACTGATTCCCACAGAATTCATCTCCTGGACTCAGATAAGAGTTGTTCTCCCAAAATGGTCAACTCACTTTAAGAAAATAATTCTACCTGCTAAGCTAAAGTGGCATAGTACTTACGAGTCAGTGTCCAGTGAAAAGTAATCATACAGCTTAACTATTCTGGGATGATCCAGTTCTTTGTGAATCCGGTATTCCCTACATGCATGCCTGTGAACAAAATGGAAAATTCACAAGACAGCACCATAAGAAGACCACCTTTCAGGACAACTAGTAAAACACGTATTGGGATCCAAGGGGTGGGAATAGAGGGGTAAGGATGGGTAGGGGTAAAATCAGAGTTGCACAATTTTGTGGGTGGAGGGAGAGGGTAAATTAAATGGAAAAGATCTGGTGGGGGCCTGAAAAGACAGAGTAATGGTGGGCATAGTCCAATGGTGATTAACTTTATAAAACATAATCAATGAGAATGATTATATGAAACACAATGTAAATGATGAATAGCATGAAACACAAAGCATATAACTTTGTAAGAAAACCAATATAATTAAAAAAGAAAAAAGACGACAATGATTACTGCCTTTCAAACTCTTCGGAGAGTACCCCTAAATATGCCTTCATTTCTTCAGTTTCCTTCAGTTGATCCATTTGAGTCTACCTGCTCTCTTCATCTGATTTTTCTTTTTACACCACTATAACCTAAGCTAACGGGTGTTGAAAATAAATTAGGTGCTCAAATATGCACTTTATGTATTTACACACTTCAGAGATTTAGACAAAGGACACTTTTCTCTCCTCTAAAGCTATGATATTTGTAAATGTTACAAATGTAAATGTTACAGAAGCCACATCAAGGGGATTAATTTTAGCACATAAACTCATTGAGCAAAAGAATTTAAGGTGGAAGAAAAAAAAAGAGATGGAGGGAGAATTTAAGGTGGAATTTTACTTTAAGAAAATGTGCAGGAAATCTGAAACTATGGAAACCTCCATTTCCATTTTCTTAGGATGGAGAATTGAAGTATTAATGCATTTTTGCCTTTTTTTTTACATTCCGTTTTTCAATTTAAAATAACTATAAAATTGGAACAAAAATTCAATACATAATTCCACATATTCAAGTATTAAATTTAAAATTCTTATACAACGAAATCAGTATCAGTAGTTTTTTTTATAGTTTTTAGTCCTTATTTATCAAAAGAATAACAGATAAGTCCATTTTAAGTCATCTAGTCCTGCTGAGTTTGGGGCATTCTGCTATATCAAGCAAGAATTCAGAAAGAAAACGTTCTACAGTATGGTAACCTAATATCTTTAAAAGTGAGATTTTCAGGGAACTCTGGTGCCTAGTGGCAAGAAACTGCACTGCAATCCCAGAGATAAGTGGTTCGAATCAACCAAATGCTCTGCTGGAGAAGGAAGAGCAATCTCCTCCTGTACCAGTGAGATCTGATTTGATGGCACACACACACACACACACACACACACACACACACACACACACACACTAATTTTTTAAAAAAATGATATTTTCGGAAATTAAAATCTTTATCATATTAACATTACATAGAAAGAATGAGAGAAAAACTAAGAAAGAAGGAAGGAAAGACTAAGTAATTCTCCATGTGAACAATTATTTGATTAGGTTTCTTTTTCAAGCTTGCCGAAAAAGAGTAGGTGCTCAAATATTCATGAATGAAAGGGTAGCAACCTTCCACCCCTTTTAAGACCATCTACAAGCTCCCTTCTTTTACATATTCATACAGAAACATCAGAATTTCCAGAATTTTTTGCTTCTGATGTTTCATCATCTTTACATCTTTCTGAAAAAACCTTCCCAGCAATAAGAAGAACCAGTGTTAGAAGACAAGCCACCATGGGAACGAAAGACTCTAGCTTCCAGCCCTGATTCTGTGGTTCCAGCTTCATTACCAGAACGAAGATGTCATACAACATCAGTTGTTGAGTGAAGGCCCCTGGTGTCTATGGGGTCTTGGGAGACAGTGAGACAATGGTTTAGTTATAACAAAAAAACAGGTGATTTGAGTCTATCCAGAAGTGCGTAGGAAAGAAGGTGTGACAAACTACTTTGGTAAAACCAGTCATTGGAAATTCTAAGTACAGTTCTACGCTGACACTCTTTTGAGGTTTCCATAATTCAGAATCAACAGCAACTTTGCTTTAACCTCTTCATTCTGTGTACTACAAAGTAGAGACCAATTTCTCAGACAAGGTACAGAAAACAGAGCAAACCTACAGAGATAAAAAGTAGAAATCAAAAGAAGTATCTTTCAAAGTGCTTACTTCCTGAGGAAACTGCTGGGCAATGCAGAAAGCACTCCCTCAATAGAGCTCTAAGCTCACTTCTGTACCCTATCTGGGCAAGACTGTGCCATGGCCCCCAATGTTCAACTTTGAAATTAATTATCCCAAAGATTAATGCACCAGAAATACAGGGACTTAATATTTTCTCAGTGCAGAATTTTTGTTCCTTTTAGGGGTTAAAGGTATCTAGTACTATTAGTATTATTAATGCTTTCATAACCTCATAGTAAAAGAAGCCATTTCATTTTTATATGTGGGGATAAAATAAGGGAAAGAACAGAACTCAAAAGAACCTTTTCTTTCTTTCTCTCTCTCTTTCTTTCTTTCAGATTTCTCTTTTTCTACCAAAATAACCATCTTGATTCCAGATGAGAAGTCATCTTCATGAATATAAAAGCAAAAGATCTTACTATGTAGAGTTTGTAATAGCAATACTATTGTATTTATGTTATAAATGTTATAACAACTCTGAGCTGCACGCCTCTTAAAGGGTGTATTTTTAAAGCAAACTCTAAAACAATTATGTGCTTCTAAGCACCCTCCTTTAAGCTCAAAAGAGTTAATAACATTTTCCCAATTCACTATTATCTGTGGCCTGAAATTCACAAATATGATTTCCTATAATTTAGCAAGTAAAATAATCTTTCAAAGGAAGGCGGAAGTGCCTAAGAATCTCCCCAGCAACAAGAAAGGTCATGAGACTTTGTCTCTACCCTAGGATGGAAACTAGTACCTGCCCAGAAGGCTCCATAGAAGGTGCCTTAGATGCCATGATATCAAAGAGGGGGAGGGAAAGTGGGCTGTCCCCCACCACCCCATCCCCAACCTAGAGCTAGAATGTAGAGCTTAGAAACCTTGGTGGGCAGAGAAATGTGACCAAGACACTTGGGCTGCATCCACCAGGCCTCAAGTTTTTTGCCAATTTGCTGAGTAAGTACAGAGCCTTGTCTTCCACCTACAGTCACTGTTGTGTTCAGTTCTTTAAAGATCAGTCCAAAGATACATAGGGAAATAAAGCAAGAAAAGTAAATCCCGACACAGGAATCATTTTGTCAAGGTTGACTACAGCTGGTTCCCAGTAGAGCTGATTGGCTTAGAGTGGTCAACAGCACAAACAAGATACTCCCAGAACAACTAGGCAGAGAACAGTTATAAGCAGCATGTACCCTTCCACCACTCAGGCATGCCTGGAGACTCAAGAGGGACAGTTCTCTTTTACAACTGGTCGGGGTTACATGTGGCTCTCTTCTCTGAAGTGCTGTTGGCATTCCCAGCTGCACGCCAATCGTCTTGCACATTAAGTGACTGGAATGTAAGTATAATAATCAAGCTGCTCCTTGGGAGCATCTGGACCACAGCTGTCTGTGATGTAAAATCTACTACATGCAGGGTGCCAGGCACAATCCACACCATCCCTTTTCCTACTTCTCCCGAAGCCCTGTTTTTCTCTCCAGTGCCTAATGCTATAGTTAATTCAGTATGAAACAGAAAACTTCCTCCAGGCGTGATAAATAATGTGTATAAAGTAAGAGGTGCTTGGTCCATGCTCTGAGGACTGGTTTGCTGTTGTAGAAATGATTTTCCTGTGAGATTTAGAAGTGAACTAAAAGGCAACTTCAAAGCCCACAGCTTCAAAGTCCCAGAAATTGCATTTATAAGAAAGGAATGTGGGAAGCTCTGGTGGCCTAGAGGCAAGAAGCTGTACTGCAATCCCAGAGACACACGGTTCGAATCCACCAGATGCTGCTCTGCTGGAGAAGGAGGAACAATCTCCTCCTGTACCAGTCGGATCAGATTTGACGGCACACACACAAAAAAGAATAAAAAAAGAAAAAAAAAGAAAGGAATGTGGTTGTTCAGAGTAGGTTGTTCCTTTCCCTTTCAGACTTAGGACAGGTCTAATTCAACTAATTCAATATCTGTATCTATGAAAAGGAAACAATGAAACTCAGTGGGGAATCTAATAGCGAATTAAATCTGTGTGGTCTCTGAAGTAAATAAGCCAGGAACTCCAGTATTTTGAGGCTGAGGGGGAAATAAGCAAAACCTGTTATTAGTGGAACGATGAATAATTCACAGCTGCCCCAGTAATTCTTTCTAAAGAAAATGGCCTGTCCAACCACTATTCAAGGCTGGGACACTGAGAGCAGAAGTTGCAGTGAGCAAGCTGTGACTGGGGCGGGAAACAGCCCGAGGTGCTAAGCAGTGAGACAAAAGCCCCTGTAAAGGGCCAAGAGCCTCTCCACCTTCTTTGACACTGACATAACTCAAGAAGCAGGAGGGTCCTACCCACAGCTCGCTGGGTCCTTAGTGTCTCCACTAAGGGACTTCATTTGGTAAAAGCAACAATGATTTCTGAGGTTTGGGGATTTAAACGACAGCTCAGACACTTCTTAAATGTTGGTCCCTACATGTCAGTTTCGTCAACAGTAAAACAGAAAAGATAGTCCTTCTTCAAAGGGTGGGCAGAGTAAATAGAATGACAATAACAGTAACAAAAATGTGTAAAGCTCTTAGAGTCTCAAACAACATCTAATGTTATGAAAAAGCAACCACTATATCACTTACTTGTGGTAATTCTCTTTCTTCTCATCTCTCCAGTTTTTATTTAACTGGTGAATTTTCACAGCTACATATCTCTGTTCTGTTAGATCAAATGCCTATGAAGAAAAGGAGTAAATTATGTTCTGCATAAATGTTAAGATTCACAGGCAACAGACTTGAAGCTTCTACTTAAGAGATCAACGATTAAAGTCTAAAATACATTCTTAAATAAAAGACGGCAGCAGTTGACTGCATACCACAGAGTTACTTCAGTGTTGCAACCAACTTCATGAAATTGTCATCAGATAATTTCCAATTCTCCAGACACACTGGCACCAAGGGGTTTAGAAAATAAAAACAAGTACACACCACAGACAGAAGGAGAGGCCTGTCTGAACAGTCACTTCCATGAGTCTTTCTGGACATCATCCCTCAGCCTCCTTTGGACAGCTCTTAGCTATCTCCCATCACTTAGTGGAATTGAGACTTTTCAGGTGCGAACATAAAGTCCTGCCACGTTTGGACCATGAGGGACACATATCATCTATTCCTTGAAGAAGTAACCGCTCAGGATTTACCTCTTTGACTTTATGGTTTAGAAAATAACCCTGTAATTTGCTCTAATGTGTTTATTTAAAAAAACAATCACCACCTCCCCCTCCCACAATACCAAGAAACCAGCCCTTCCTTTTTCCATTCTCAATCTATGTAAATGAAAGTAGTTTTTGATGGCAGGAGCAGTTAGCCACATCAGTCAGTTCGCCAATACTGTCAAGAGAAAGGGTCAAGCTCTACCTACCCAGAGACCAGAATCAACAAGGGTAAAGATACTGAGGAAGGCAACAAATGAGGTTTTTTAAGAAGCAAGTTTTAAATGACAATTTGATAGTAATTTTAATCTAATAGAACAATTCCTCCATGTAAACTTCATTGATGAATTCCTTCAGAATGTGAATACTTTCTCCATATATTTAAAGTTCACATTACAAACTTACTATTTCTAGGCAACACTAGTGACCTAGTAATAAGAAGTTGCACCACTAACTCAAACACAGATAGCTCGAATACACCAGCAACTCCATGGGAGAAAAATAAGCAATCTCCTCCTGTGAGATTTATGGCCTGTAAAAACCTACAGCTATGAGTCAGTTCCAATTTGACAGCACTTACCAACACCTATAACCCTAACACCATTAACATCCACCTGCCAGTTTCCACAAATGTACAAACTGACAAAGGTCAGAGACACAGAAAATATAACCTATAAACAGTTATTACTTGCACATGGATGTTTTAAAAGTTATTTCTGGGAAAGCAATGTCTTTAAGAGAGGGCTCTTAGTTAAACCTCTTTATTGAACATAATCCAGGATTTTTAAAGTATCAAATATAATATTCTATTTCATAGAAATAGAAACTTTTGATGTTGTTTTTCTTACACAGAGAGAAATATAAGCATGTTTACCATTGAGGATTTAAAGTAGAGAAGCATTTTAAGTCATTAAAGCCCAAATGAAGGTGCTCCTAGTGATTAGGAGGATGGTGTAGGATGCAGCAGAGCTTCACTGTATTGTACACAGGGTCACGATGTGTCAGAATGGATTCAATGGCGCCTACCAACAATTTATAAAAGCACTACTGGAATGACATGTGTTGGTTTCTCCAACTAACATAAATTTCAAAACCTAAGACACTAAAAATTTTAAGACCTTCCACTGATTTTTTTTTCTGAAGTAATTTTTATTGTATGGAATATTGGACTTATTAAATAGTAATACACTGAAACACCCCTTGGATGGAATTAGCAACATGTGAAGAAAAGTGAAGGGCTTGAATACTTGTTGACTACCTGAATCCATCATTGTATTTAATCCTTAAATACTTTATAACCACTAGTATCCCCTTTTCAGATAGGGAAAGAGAAGCTCAGTTTTAAAACCCAAACAAGGTGCTTCAGCTGGAAGTGAAAGGAATCAGGATTCCAATTCAGTTCCAACTTAATCCAAAGTTCAAACTCTGCTTTCTCTGTTGTCTAAGAGAATGTACTACAATAATACTAGTTTCTGCTATTATTCTTCCAGACCAGTACCCAGTTCTAAGTAATTATAAATAATCTGACCATTACCTAATGTCTTGGGGGGAGGGGTTCTCCATTTTCTTGTCACACTTAAATTTCATAATTTAAAAAAATAAATTTTTCCATTAAAAAAATTTAAAATTTATTAATTTTTTGCTTTGAATAGTTTCAAAACAGCATTAAGAAGTCTCTTTCCATCCACTATTCCTGTCCACTCTACAAACTTTTTTTTTTTCCTAAAGAACAGGTATCATACGGCTCTATTTTGTAACTTCCTCTTTTAAATTCAGTTAATAATACATCCTAATAATCTTTCCAACCAATGGCCATACATAGCTTCCACTTTGTTTTGTTCTGATGGTACTTTCTTTTTTTAATTTTTTTCTCATAGTGAGAATAAACACAGAGAAAACATGCACCGATCAGCGGGTTCTACATGTATAATTCACCGACACTGATTATGCAACCATTCTCACCATCCTTTCCTCTCCAACTAATACATATCCGCTTTCTTCAAGGTGTCTTACCTAATCTTTTGACCTGATTTTGAAATTTGATCCCATATAGCTAGATCCTAAAAAAAGAGCACAGTGGTAGACATTCTTTGATTTTAAGACTTCATGGGCTATATTTGGTTTAAAGCCCTGGACATGTAGTACATTATAAATCAGATCACTAAACAAATGGTTAAGTCTGTTGTCAGAGACCTCTCCAAGGTACTGAAGAGAAATGATGTCAGTCTGGAGACTAAGGTGAGCCTTATACAGGCCATGGTCTTTGTCATTACTTGGTATGCATCAGAGAGTTGGACAATGACTAGTGATGATAGAAGGAGAATTGATGTCTTTGAGCTGTGGTGCTGGAGAAGAGTATTGAGAATACCACTGATATCAACCCAGTTACTATTATTCCAAGTTGGTAACAATCATTAAGGTAAGCACTCAGTGTTTTTGCGTAAGTTTCTCACACTTACCTTGTAAACTTCACTGAAACCGCCCCTACCCAAAAGATGTAACAACAAATATCTGTCATTTAGCGTTGGATGATCTTTAAATCTGTGGAAACAGGCAACACACATGTACTCAGGTGAAATGTCCCCTATTTACAAAATCTTCAGGATATCTAACATGTTATACACATTATGATGCAATAACATGCAATCAATACCAGTAAATGAAATTCTGAGCATAAAGCACGTTCTACAAGTCAAAGGAGTAGCGTAATTCCAGTAAAGAGCATCAGTCGTGGTCCCATCAGACACAGGTGCTAGTCTTGTGGAGCCACAACTGATTCTGTGACCTTCCTGGCTTCCTTCCCTTGCCACCCGCTGGAGTGAAGGTTAAGGGGCTCTGACAACATAGTCCAAAGTGAGTGGGACTGCTAACCCAAAGGCCTCAAAAGTCTCCAGCAGTTTGAGTCCACCCCGCGCCACTCAGAGCATCAGAAGCCTGATAGTGAGTCAAGAGTAGCTGAGCTTAACTCAATAGCAAGGAGTATAGTGAGGGTATTTTTAACTGCTTCATAGGTATTTGAAAGCTGGGCAATGAATGAGGAATACCAAAGAAGAACTGACACCTCTGAACTGTAATGTTGGAGAAGAATACTGTATATTCAAGGGACTGTCAAAGAACAAATGAATTTGTCTTAGAAGTATCGCCAGAATGTTCCTTACAAGCAAGAGTGGTAAGACTTTGCCTCATATACTTTGGGCATATTAGCAGGGGCCAGTCCTTAGAAAATGACATCATACTTAGAAAGTACAGAGTGGGCAAAGGGGCAAAACCAATGACAAGATGGATAGATTCAGTGCCTACAATAATGGTTTTTAGCATATCATAGACTGTGAAGATGGCACAGCACAGGATCGGGCAGGATTTCATTGTGTTGCACATATAGTTGCTACAAGTTGGCACTAACTGCATCCCAGTTAAGGAGCGAGCCCTGGTGATGCAATGGATAAAGCACCTGATTGTTAGGCATTTGAAGGCACCAGTCACTCCATGGGAGAAAGATGGCAACTGCTTCCACTAGGACTACAGCCTTGAAAATCCAGTATGGCACTTTTGTGTCCTTCCTACAAGGTTGCTATGACTGGAGTAGGAGGTAGGAGAAGGATAATGAGAGGAATAGGTTAGACTAGAGCAGAGATTATTTTCAAACTGTTTTATCTGGCCTGTCTGAACCATTCAAAAGGGGAGCTTTGGTGGCTTGGTGTTAAGGAGCTGCACTGCTAACCCAAAAACATGCAGTTCAAAACCACCAGCTGTTCTGGAGGAAGATGACTGGCAATACTCTCCACTGTGAATTACAGCCTCTGAAAACACCTTGGAGTGTCATCTGACTTCACAGCATGTAACAAACCACTGAAGGAACACATGCTTTCTCACCATTCCAAAACTATATGCAGTAAAACCCCAAATATTTTACACTGCTTTAAAAATGGACTTGGTTAAAAAGTGAATCATATATTTATATTCCTCTTTCTTTAAAACAGTATGTGACATAACTGTTTTCCTCAAAAAGGATTCAACATGATGTCATTTCCAATAAGTTGGCAAGAATTTAAGATTCCTGAAAATACTTCTACTAAGCTCCTGCTCTTTACAAATTTCTTTCTTTTTTTTTTTATTGTGTTTTCAGTCAAAGTTTAACCACAAAATTAATTTCCTTAGTTATATTTTTCACACTGTGCTCATATTCCAGAATTCTGGTTGTTCTTTTATCCAGCATTCTGGTTTTCTTAATGCCCTGGTCTTCTTATCTTTACTCTGAAGCACTTGTTGAGCTTCTGGTCTCATGGAAATGTTTGTACACTATTAATTGTGAAATTATTTGTATTTGTTAACAAAGTGGTACACATGTGGGTGAAGATGACAGCAGTGCAGAGTGGTTAGCTTTACAGTCAGATCCAAGTCTGACTGTGTGCTCACACTAATTTTGAGTCCCTGGTCAAGTTCATTTCATTTCGTCAAGCCCCGTTACCAGAGCTATGCACTAAAGATGACTTAACTTGGTGGATTTAAATGTTTTTAAAAATTAATAAACATGCAAAACCTCCTTGCCATGTAGTCAGAATGGACTCATAGCTGACCCTCTAATGGGTTTATGGAGGCTGTAAAGGGCATGAGAGGAGACTCCTCCTGAGGAGACACTAGGGGTTTGAACTGCCAGAGACCTCCAGCCTTTGGGTTAGCAGAGCAATTCTCTATGGACTATATGCCACAGGACTAACGGAGAGAGCGTAAGTGAATCGCACACAGTGCCTGGTACAGGGCTCAAACATGTTAACTGCTGCTGTCTGATACTTTATAGAAAAGTTCATCGTTCATACTGGGACAGGCCAAAAAGACACAATCTGAAACTAAGAAAAAAACCAATCCTGTATCAGTCAGAAAACTATAGGAAACAAAAGATGGATCAATGAAGCCACTTCTCTCTTGTAAACCTGTTTTCCCGGTTTTAATATTTTAAATGATGTAACTACAAAAAGCAACATTTATCTCCAATTAATGTTATAATCTAGAGTATCTTGCTTTAAATAACTAGCACTCAAATGGCCTTTAAAGTCATTCAGAAACCAGAGTCCTCTCAACTCACTCTTTTAATACCTGCACACTCACTACTACCTATGATTTCAGAGAACTAACTCTGAAAAAAAAGAACACCCAAACCACTCACAGAACAAAGTCATATGGCTTTTGTTACCTCTACTTGTATTTAAATATTGCAGTATACATATAATTACATGCATTTACATAGAAAGTCAATATAGTTACATTTATTTAAACTAAAGCAAATTAATTTTTTCACAAAACTACATTACACTGGATCATTAATATTGTGGAATATTTATAAATTTATGTTAAATGAAAATACCATTCTAAACCATTATCTAAATATTGTCTAGAATATTGTTAGAAATACCCCAGCAATCTCTCACCCAAAATAGCCCCAAGGTGCTTACTGTGAATTATCTTCATTATGTATCCTTTTTAGTTCTCTAATATGTAGATTTCTAACCCTTTCTAGCCTTTCCAGCTCTGCCTGTATCTCCGCTTCCTCCTAAAGGGAAAAGAAAGTGATAGATAACTGAGGCCATTATAATTTAAAAAACAGTAGGTATTTTAATAGTATAAAGCTAATGGGAAATGTTTTGCACTGAAAAAAGATTTTTTTTAAGAGTCATCATTTTAATCATAAAAAACAGCAAACAGCAAATAAAACAAAATACAATTCAATCCATACAGAGAAACAGACTAGGGAAATAAAGGTTGTCTCCCTACTACATTCCTCTCCATGGTCATGTCCCACACACAACTACTGCTGAGTTTCTTATGTTTAAGGTTCCAGAACTATTTTATAGGTATGCATATAGGTACACAAAAACCCTTAAAATAATAAATTAAACATAAGCAAAATTTAAACTAGTCTTTACAAATACCAGACTCTCAATTTTATTTTCTTCTTTTTTCGCCCTAGAAATATAGTTTATTTCATATACACTATGCGAAAAAGGGACATGCATACCTGCCATTACAAACCTTTCTCTTTTTTTAAAAATTAATTTTAATGAAAGTTTACAGAGACTTTGGATTTCCATTCACTCATTATTGTACTTTCCTCCCTACTCACCCCTCCTCCTCAATTAGCTTTTCTCTTTGAAAAGTAAAAGAAAAATTCTTTCATTGTTATACAATCCCTCCCCTCAAGTCCACTCCACTATGCTGCCTTCACTCTGGACTCCTGTCATAACAACAGTACCTAATCATATACCCCTTTTAAACAGTTCTCTCCCTCATCTGTTTCAATGCAGTATACATTATTTATCTCCTCTTTCTCAGTCTCCTCTCAACCCCTAAGTCAATCCTGTTTTACAACAGTGGTGTTATGCAGTATTTGTCTTTTTGTGACTGAGATATTTCACTCAGCATAATGTCTTCCAGGCGCACCCATCCCATATTATATAACATTCATGAGTTCCTTGTTTTTCAATGCAGCCCACTAGTCCATTGTGTGAATATACCACAGCTTATCTAGCCATTTGTTTGTTGATGGTCACTTGGGCTTTTTCCAACTCTTTTGCTATTGTGAACAAAGCCAAAATAAATATAGGTGTGCACATATCTGCTTGGGTGGCAGTTCTGATTTCTTCAGGGTATGTTCCCAGTAGTGGAACTGCTGGGTCAAATGCTATTTCTACTTGGAACTTTTTGAGAAAGCGCTGTACAGCCTTCCATAGTGGTTGTACCATTTTACACTTCCACCAACAGTGAATAAGGGTTCTAGTTTCTCTGCAACCTCGCCAGCATTTGTTGTTTGCTGCTCTGAAATTTTGCTATTCTTACTGGGGTGAGATGATATCTCATAGTTTTTTTGGGTTTTCTTCTTGAGAATAAAATTACACTTGGTACCTGAAGTTCCAGTGATGTGGCAAGATCTAAATCACCCAGTTAAAAAAAAAAAAAGATAAAAACCAGTGGGAGGGAGGGCGGTGGAAAACACCACCAACAACACGCACTGGGAGGTTTGTAATGGTTAATATGATGGTAATATGATCAGTTGCTGACTGCAAGGTTGGAAGTTTGGGTCTACCTAAAGGCATCTTGGGGGGATGTCCTGACATCTGTGTCTAAAAAACCAGCCACCAAAGACTCTATGGAGCACAGCAGTACTAGGACAGACATTTGGTGGTGCTGAGTCAGGAGCTGGTTGAGTTAATGGTAAGAAGCAGGGGGGGGGGATGTCTATATAGCATACTGACCATCATCACCATAAACAGCATCCACAAAAATTGTCTGGGCTGTTAAATTTACATGATGTATAAATAATAAACTCTATGTAAACCTCTGTGCTAGAATATAGTTAGTATAAGAAGTTCCACCAAGAAGTAAGCACTGTTATGTGATTAAAAAATATCAAAAGAATTTTGATAGTCACCACAAAGGTAAACAACCCAATTGCAAAATGGACACAGGCTATGAACAGACACTTGATCAAAGAAGACATTTAGATGGCAAACAAACACATGAAGAAATTATCAAAATCCCTAACTCTAAGAGAGACGCAAATAAAAACAACTATAACATATCATCTCACCCCCAGTAACAATAGCAAAATTCAAGAGAGCAATAAACAACAAATGCCGGCCAGGCTGTAGAGAAACTGGAACACTTATTCACTGTTGGTGGGAATATAAAATGGTGGCATCACTCTGGAAGGCAGTGGCATCCACTTCCTAAATAACATGCCTCCAGAAACTCTATGAACTTTGATAAATGTCACTAATTGTAGAGGGGCTTCAAGCCTTTTGTTCATAGGGTCACTATGAGTCATGCTCAACTTGAAGGAAATCAACAACTCTGGAAGGCAGTAAAGTGCTTTCTCAAAAAAAAAGGAAAAAAATTTTCACTACTGGGAATATACCCTAAAGAAATCAGAACTGCCACCAAAAGAGGTACATGCACACCTATGTTTATTGCTGCATTGTTCACAATAGCAAAGAAATGGAAACAACTCAAGTGTCCATCAACAAATGAATGGTTAAAGAAGCTGGAGTATATTCATACAATGGAATACTATACAAGGAACTCATGAAATATTATTATACAAAATGGGTGACCCTGGAGGACATTATGCTAAGTGATCTATCTCGGTCACAAGAAAACAAATAGTGCATACTACCACTGTTATAAAACAGGACTGACAGAGGGGTTGGGGGGAAACTAAGAAAAGAAGAGATAAATAATGTACACTGCATGTAAACAGATGAGCGAAAGAATTTCTTAAAAGGATTATATGATTAGGAATTACATGTATAATACTAGTCCAGAGCAAGAGCTGTATAGTAAAGTGGACTGGTGTGGGGGTGGGGAATTGTACAACAATGAAAGAACTTTTTTCAAAGAGAAAAGCAAACTAGGGGCCTGGGCAAGGAGGAAAATATGCACTAATGAATGAATGGAAATTCAAGTTGTCTATAAACTTTCATTAAAATCTCTAAAAAAAATACTAAAAAGAATTGTGACAATTTCAGATCTACTTTTTCTTATATATTTCATTTTTACTTTAAGGATAATTTCTCATGAAGCTTTATGAAGTATAGGTAAAATTTGGGGGAAAGTACTGTGTGTGGTAAGAGCGGACTCTAAAATGGAAAGACATGGATGTTTCAACTGGATTATAAAGTGACAGGAATAACCATATAAGATTTTTGTGGCTGTGGATGAACTAAAACCAAATGCAAACTATACAATTAGCTTAAAAGCCAAATGTAAACTGAAAATGACATTTCTGGAGTTTCTTTTGTTTTCATTTTACTCACCTTTTTAAGATGCCCTAATCTGAGTTTGAAGATTTCTTCTTGTTCATGGTATTCTGCTAACGTTAATCTGGAAAAGAACAGTTAAAATTTTAGTATAGTATCTCAATTTACAACGTGCTTATTTAAAGAAAAATGCCAAAGTATGCTGAAGGTATAGTAAGTCTCTTAGAATGACTAAGATATTATCTTCTGGTCCTCTGACAAGAAAAACTTTTGTGATTTATCAAGTACGATACAAAAGAAAGCCAGAAACTCAATTTGTAAAAATGAGAAAAAAAATTCAACTGAAGTTTTACATTATTTATGAAATAGACTACATCCCATATCTTACATTATTCACAATAGTTAAGGTTAAAAACTAGAAAAATTATGTGTTAAAAAAATATTTTAAGTGCAAAACAGTAATCTAATGAATTTCATTCTTCTTGATGACTTTTAGGCTATGGTGACATAATTAGAAAGGTAGCAAACAAAGTAAAGTCCAGGTTTGGAATCTGAAGAATGGGGCTCAAGGCATAAATGTGCACTTGCCATGTGACTATGGACAAGTAATTTTAACATTTTATTCTTAGTTTCTTTTTTTTCCTTCTTCTCTGTTCCCTTTAAATACAGCAGGAATAATACCAATTAACAAAGTTGTTGTGAACATTAAATGAGAATGCAGAAAAAATTATCTATAAAACTCTATATATGTGTGACAGAATTATTCACTCCATGTTCTACCTACCTGCCCCAATGCCAATCTTGTCTCAAACAGAAGCATGTAAGAAGTAATGCTTTAACTCTTTTGTTAAAACTTCTCATCACATTTTAGAAACAAACACACTGACTATACTGGAAAGTTTTAGAACTCACAGACTACAGTCCAAACAGCAGGAGGAAATGATCCCTATCCTCTCACCTAGGAAGGGCTGTATGAAATGGAGCTTTTGCAGCCTGACTCGGAAAAGTTTGATATACCCTGCAGCTGCTACACTTTTATTTTTACAGCTGCAGAATTACTTAAATCTAGTTCTCCATTTCAAAGCAACAAAAAAAGGGGTGGGGGAATGGAAAGAAGTGAGAAAGCTACAGCTATGTGTTTTCCCTGCCTGAAACATGTTCAAAACCCAAGAAGAATAATGTAACTTCTTCCAGTACTCCAGAGGCCTCTACTTGCTGGTTTGGCCAAAGGCATAAATCGAAGTTACTGATACTCTAATTAAAATCTGGAAAGAAGCCCTTCTATCTTGGATTAATGGTCTACTGACACTATTGGACTGGATGAAATTCTAACTATTGTTTTGTAGCAAAACAACAACCTAGACCCTCTTTATCACTCCTAAGTCTGAGAGTTTTATGCCTAACATTTAATAAATGTGTCATGAAATAAACACATAACTATTTAACATGTGTTAAATGTACATTTGCCTGGAATATTTTTAACTGTAGATAAAAGGCTTCTATGGTAAGAAGCTGTGCTGCAAACCCAAAAGCACTTTGTTCGAATCCACCAGGTGCTCTGTAGGAGAAGGATGGGCAATCTCTTCCTGTGTGACTCATGAATCTGAAAACTACTGGAGGGTCAGCTCTGGGTTGGTTCCAACTCTGAAGACAGCACCCAACAACAACAAACACCTGTTATGAATGCATAGGGTGGTGGTTAGTATTAGGCCACTTCAAAACTCAAACTCACTGCCACTCAGTCGGTTCTAAGTCACAGTGACCTAGCACAGGAGACCACCCATCTTCCTTCTGAGGATTGACTGGTGGATTCCAACGACTAGAGACACTGGCCATTGGATTAGCACACAACTCCCTAGAGTTAAAAAGGAGATATACTGGCTATAGAATTAACTACTGTCTCTATGAAAATCTCTAAATTTCAAACACCTCTGCAGAAACTACTTCCCAGCTACCATGATTTCCACACGACTTGTACATGACTTGTACATTTATGTACTGATCCATCCTCCCTTTTATTTGAAAAGGCTCTGGATATTTTCAAACACTTCAGGGTATGTATGCATAGAAGCATGTTAAGTAGACAGGTATTATCGATACAGGGATAGTCATGGTTCAGTGATAAAACACTCGAATAAAACCTCATGTGCCACCATTTGTCTGAGTGATATGTGCTGCTATGTGGCTGTAAAGTGGAGCTTCCAGACTAAGATGGAAAAGGAAGAAAGGTCCACTTAAAAAAAAAAAAGACACAATCTTATGGACTGAACTAGTCCAATCTACTACTGATCATGGGGAGGATGCAAGACCAGGCAGTGTTTCCTGGGATTTTGCACTATCTGTCCTGAGTCAGGGGCCAACTTGACCAGGGAAAGGGGTACACAGGTCTGAATCCCCATGTCAAATTCGCCTTGTACTTCTTGCTTAGTTAGCCTATAACTTACCTGGCCCTGAGACAGCTTTTTAAAATTTTATTGAAACACAGCCACATCCATACATTTATGCATTATTGAGGGCTGCTTCCTGAACTCTGATGGTAAAGTCTGTAGCGAGTTGCACTGCCAACCCACAGGTCAAGCCGGTTGAAATCCACCAGCAGTTCTGTGGGAGAAAGAAGAGTGATCTCCTCCTAGATGAAGCAGAGCCCTGGAAATCTACTGGAGGCTCAGCTACGAGTCAATTTCTACTCAAGTGCCTTCTTTCAGACAACAAAAGGAGTGGAGAAGTAATAAGAGAGACTGAATAGCCTACAAAGTCCAAAGCATTTCACAGAAAGAATCTGCTGACCCCTTGTCAAGCCTTCTTCTGAGAGAAAGATTTTCTGAGTGAGCAAAAGTGCAATAACCAATCAGGTCAATGTGACTTGGGGTGAAGGTAAAGACAGAAGGAATCTGTGCCTAGGATTTTCTACCCTTCTGCTACTGTGCAATCATTACTGACTGGGGTAATTAAAAAAAAAAAACACACAAAAAACAAAAAACACTACACTGCAATTTAGGACACTGGTATTTTCCTAAGGCGCCCAAAACAGGAAACCATCTTGGGGATGTCTGCCTTACTGGGAAAATGTCCTTTTCCGATAATAATAGCCATTCTTTTGTGGTGAGCAGTGTGATTAAGTAAATGCCCTTTAGACCAGCAGGCAGTGTAACTTTTCCCAACATGCGTTAGAGTTTTGCATTCTTCAATCTCAAACAGTCGCCACTCAAAGAAGACACTAACATATTATAACCTAGAGCCACATATAAGCAACTCAACAGTTTAAATACAATAGTAACACAGCACTTGTGGTAAGAATGGCCTAAGATCATGATTCATGTTCAAGTTAAATGAAATTATTTCTCTCTCATGTAAAACCCCCTAAATAAAAGCAGAACCAGGAAAATCAGTGAATTATGAACCTTCTCGGTCTTCCACATGAGTTGAGCAAATCCAATATGCATCTAAAATAGAAAGTTTAAACCCAGAATATATGATTTTTTTTCCCCTCCAGTGACTTTCAAAGGCACATTAGTATCTGTGTGCAGTTGTGGTGTCTCACAGAACATGTCCATAGAGAACATACGTTTCATTCTCAGCTCCATTGGTCTTGCTTTTCCGCTGTTTCTGCTCATTGGTTGTTGGAGGCGCCTGTCCCATGGCAGGAGGTTTCCGCTTTGCCAACATTTTCCGTTGTCTTTCTATCTCTTCCCTCTGTGAATTTATCCTTTCCTGTTGTCTACAGATATAAAAGACGGTGGACAGGGAAGGAAGGTAAATTTTTAACACAGTTACAGAAAACACAACTGGCCTCTACATTGTGTGTATTATCAGGATTCCTACACCAATTACTCATGTTCTTGAAATTGTTTATCTTCTTAAATTAAGAGAGTTCTGGAGACCTAGTGGCAAAAAGCTACCCTGCAACCCATGTGCTCTGCACGTGATAATCTGAATCCACTACCTACGCCACGGGAGAAGGATGGGCATTTTCCTCCCATTCGATTAACTGCCTCTGAAATACCGGAGGGTTAGCTAAGGGTTGGTTCAACTCAAGGGTACATCATAACTACTACGTAAAGAATAAATGTCATCAGATATCCTTAGTTTTAGCTCATTTTGGCATCTAGAATATGCTGTAACTTCTCTTAGAACAGGAATCATGTTTGCTGACTGTTAAATCCCCTAGCAGTGCTCTTCAGGAGCTGATTCTTTCCTCTTATTTTGACTCCGTCTTAAGTGTGCTGCTCTTTATCACTTATACAGTACTTCTCTCATATTCTTTCATAGATGTAATGATAATTTCATAGTCATTTAAATCTAGATCAGGCCACTTAAACAGCTTTGCTTATAAAAGAACACAAGAGAATCAATCTTAAGCACCTTTATCACCAAACCTTTATTGTCTGAGTATACAGTCAATAATTATAGGAGATGTGCTAAAATAAAAACTCACATGTTTTCAGACATTATTTTAACTGGCAAATCTTTAGCAGTAATCAACATACGTTGTTGTTGTTAAGTGCCATCAAGTCATTGACGACTCATAGTGACCCTATGAACGAAAGACCTGAACACTTGTATAACTTTCATTGTTTCTCCAAATTCATAGGGTCTCCAGAAGCAGGCTATTTCGGAAGTGGATGCCACTCCTGCTCCCAAGCTTGTTTTAATATACCAACTGAATATCCGAGATTCAAAAATTAAAAGGCGCCCCAAATTTCAAGTGTCTGTAAATACTGGGGCCTGTGAAATTGTGTGAACTATCCAGCAGAGATCTGACGTTTAAAGAATAAACAATGTGATTGTCTCATGATAAATCATGTATTTAAGAATCACACAGTTCACAAGAAATCATTTATTATTTCAAAATCAAAATGTGATTCTATGCTCCCTTACACAGCAGAATAGACTAGACTAGCATTACAATGTTGTATAATGTAAATTTTCCCCAACCACCAGACTGTAAATGACCTCAATTCTTTATACTGTTCAAATCTAGTATATTAATGTTGTCCATTATAGTATCAGCAAAGCATTAGCAAAGAATTTTTACTGTCTTGCTATCAAGTGTTAATTAAAATATAATTTCAAGACTTAAAATACAGTATACTAAATAACACTAATATTAACATAATAATGCTCTCAGATCTGAGATAAAGTATTTTTTTTTAAAGAGTAATGGCATTTTGGAAAAAAAATATTTAAGAAAGAAAAATGGCCAATCCAGAAAAAAAAAATTACAAATCTAACATGATTTTCCCCATTATAAGTAAAACTACTATTTAGGGAACTAAGATCACTCTTGAAAAGAGAGCCAGGAAACAAAGCAAAAGCAAAAGAAACAATACTGAGATAGCTACTGAGATACTATTTAATTATCTGATTGAAATTTGAAAAATCTAACACGTGATCTCACAAAACCAAGATGTGCTGCCTGTTGTTCAGCTACCTCACCCAGCAAAATGTTATTTGGGAGGTCATTAGGTATGTTTTTAAAATAAAGAATCTCAAGTTCTACACTAAAACTTCCAGACAAAGAGTTAACCTATTAAAGCAAAACTTTAGGGGAAATAAATGCTAACCCTCTAGAAAGGAAAACCCTGGTTAAGAATCTCATTTAAGGAGTTCCAATTTTTTTAAAAAAAGAAAAGTTCCAATTTCTCTGATTTGATGGCTGTACAGCAAAATGATCATTTTGTATTCTGTAACTATGTTTGTTTTTCCAGAACCTTCTAGGCACCAGGCTCCTTATAAAGTAAAAAGACATAATATAACAACTATTAGTAAAAATATTAATCCCTTCTTAAAACAAACTATATTTTTTGTATCTATACATCAAACTTATTATCTTGTAAAAGTCTAACACTCAATCTGAGTGATAATTAGGTGACTCTTCTGATCCCATTCAAACAAATCTGGAAAACTGACAGTGTGCACATAATCCCCCCCCCCCCAGGTTATATGCACGTATGGTCAGGGAGTTATATAAAGAATATATACCTCTGTATAGTTGCTATTTACACTGCCAGGCACATTATTATTTTAAGAGCTCAGATGGATGCTGCTCTAAAACTCTACCACCTGACTTAACAATCTTTTTTTTCCCTTCCAAGGTGTTCCAATGTTTTTTTTGTTTTTTTTTTACTAAATAGCCTCACTTCAAACCCAAATATGGATATTTATTAAAACACACCTAAACAATTTGCAGGCTAGTCTTTCATATTTAAAACAATTACTAATGTGTAATCCAGAGGTGATTTTCACAAATATTAATGACATCAGTATTTGTACTTTCCTTTCAGTCATAAATTTATTATTTATTTTATTATTATTTAAAAGTAGTCATACACTTACCCATTAATGTTTGATAAGCTATTTTTTATTTTATTTTATTATTTTTGTGTGCATGTACCGTCAAATCAGATCTGACTGGTACAGGAGGAGATTGCCCCTCCTTCCCCGGCAGAGCATCTGGTATGATAAGCTATTTCATAGAAAGAAAAACCAGGTAGAAGAGACCAGGTAGCTTTTGACTCTTAAGAGATATGTAGATCAAAAGTTTGAGAGCAGGAAATAGAATGCATACCCAATGGTCTCCATGAAAAATTATCTCCACTTTTGGGAGCCACAGAGGCTACACGAAACCCTATAACTACTGCTTGATATACTTTTTAAACCTTAAACCACATATTCTCTGAATCTTCTTGAAACCAAAGAATAGCTTAACTAGTAAAATAAAAATGTGCTCTTTTGAGATGCAAATCAAAACAACTATGATATATCATCTCACCCCAGTAACAATAGCAAAATTCAACACAGCAGCAAACAACAAATGTTGAAGAGGTTGTGGACAAAGTGGAATCCTTATTCACTGTTGGTGGGAATGCAAAACGGTGCAATCATTCTGGAAGGCAGTATGGGGCTTTCTCAAGAAGCTGGAAATAGAAATACATTTGACCCAGCAATTCCACTACTGGGAATATACCCTAAAGAAACCAGAACTGCCACTGAACCAAATATATGCCATACCCATGTTGACGGCAGCACTGTTCACAATAGCAAAGGAATGGAAATAATCCAAGTGTCCATCAACAAATGAATGGATACAGAAACGGTGGTATATTTACATACTGGAATACTATGCAGCACTGAAAAACAAGGAACTCATGAATTATACAAAATGGGTGACCCTGGAGGACATTATGCTGAGTGAAATATCTCAGTCACAAAAGGACAAATACTGGGGAGCTCTGGTGGCCTAGTGGCAAGAAGCTGCACTGCAATCCCAGAGATATGTGGTTTGAATCCACCAGATGCTTTGCCGGAGAAGGAGGGGCCATTTCCTCCTGTACCAGTCAGATCCAATTTGACGGTACACGCACAGAGAAAATAATAAAAATTTTTTTAAAACAAAAGGACAAATACTGCAAAATTCCACTGTTGTAAAGACAAGACTTACATCAGGGTTTGGGGGAAACTAAGAAAAGAAGAGATCAATAATGTACACTGTATGGAAACAGATGAGGGAAAGAACTGCTTAAAAGGAATACATGAGTAGGTATTATTTGTATGAAAACAGTTCAGAATAAGAGCTGCATAGTAAAGTGGACTGGTATGGGGGTGGGAATTGTACAACAATGAAAGAATTTTTTTTTCCCCAAAGAGAAAAGTGAACTGGGTGGGAAGGCAAAGAAGAAAATATGCAACAATGAAGGAATGAAAATTCAAATTCTCTATAAGCTTCCATTAAAATATCAATTAAAAAATTGTGCTCTTTTAAGAATTATCTATATAAGACCAACTGACAACAGGAACTTGAAAGACTCACTAGAAAACTTATGGGCGAAAAAACTTTATGTTAGTAGGAGAGGAACAACTTGAAAAAGGAGGTTGAGAATATCTGCACAACTTGAAGAATGAAATAAATCCCACTGAACTATACACATAGGGACTGTTGGATTGTATACTCTGCTATGTACATAGTAAAACACCATATAAAGTTCTAGTCTAGTCTCAGATGAAAATGACTGACTTAACAAATCAAAATAAATAGATACATTACAAAAACTACAACCTTAAGTGGAAATAAGTGGTTTGTTTTCTTTTAAAACCCTGAACTTGTTAACAGCAGCAGCTGTTTACACTGTTAAAAGTTTTAGGATTTTAAATGTTAATTCCCTCCATGGAGTAAACATCTGAAGGCTTCAAATCAAAAGTAACTCAGATTGCAAGTTGCAGGCAATCACAGATGGCAGGGTCAGTTTGTCATCAAAGAAGTGACTCTGATGACTGGTCTACTTCAAGAGTCTCAGGCACAGGGTCTATACATTTCTTCTATGGTTTTACATTGTTTTATAGATAGCTCAGTTAACTGCTCCTTAGGTCTCTGTACATTTCATTTTCCTGTGGGTCTAGAATAAAGGCCCAGCAGAATCCTCATCAACAGCTACTATATACCAAGTTCAACCTCAGATTTTCCTCCCTTTGCATCAACAATTTGGATGGGTCTACTAATGTACAACTCTTTTTCTTTTTTTCCTCTAATTATATGTATCACGTATTTTAGGATTTTATCATCTTCTTTTGCACACGTAGCAAACAACAAGGAATGAAAAGAGAACTACAATAGTTAATTCTATGATTACAGAACATATAAAAAGTTCAAATCACCAACATCCAATTCTCCATTTAATCATGAAAATTCACTTACTTGATAAGATTCTGAAAAGCGTAACCATCTGTCCACTGCTCAGTAAAAGAGGCCCCGTGTCGGACAGTGGTAAAATGACCCAATCTCAAACGGTCTTGCATACTTTTATCTCTACATGCCATCTTCTCTTGTTTTGACTTAGGAGAAGGACAAAAATAGGAAAAAAAGATAATAAATTCAACATCAATTAACATGGGAAAGATACTTTTTGGAAACAAGACATTTTCTAAGCATCAAGCAAAATACTTTTGAAAAATTACATTCTCTCTCAGAATAGCCAGCAATGACTTCTCTGTGACAGCAGCCAAGCACTGTGACAGGCTGTGGAACTAAAGATCTGTAGTGTCTTCCTTTGTAAGTTTCTCCCATCTGCCTACACCTTATGTCAATTAATACTAACCCACTAAACATAAAACCCATTGTCAGAGTCAATTTTGACTCAAAATGACCACACATGACACAGAACTTCCCCAAAGTGTTCTCAATGTTATAAATCTTTAACAGAAGAATTGCTGTTGTTGTTGAGTACCACTGAGTCAGAACTGACCCATACCTGACCCTCCAGAGGGTTTTCAGAGGCAGTTAATTACATGGGAAGAGACTCAGTGGAGCAGCTGGTGGATTTGAACTGTGTGCCTTTGGGATTACAGTGCAGTTTCTTACCACTAGACCACCAGAGCTCCCCGAGTATAAGGGAAGTAGACTGCCGTATTTTTCTCTGTGAAGCACCTGGAAGGTTCAAACTGCCAACCTTTTAGTTAGGAGTCAAGCATGTTAACTGCTGCGCTCCTAAGTTAATATACAGAACTCAATATACGACTGTCAGTCAGGACACTACTGAACCTCTGCCAGATTGTCAAGACTGAAAATTGAGTGGAGCATCTTTCTCCCACTGAGTCACTGATAAGCATCGCAGATTTTGGTATCTCATCTTTAGAGCACTTGTTAATTCCTAAAATGTTTTCCTATCTTCTGTTCCTTCTCCATCCAGTATATTCTAGAGGCCTGCTGCCAACTCATCTTCTCAAAACACCACTCTGCAAGCTTCAAGTTAAATGTACCAAGCCTTTCATGACTATTTGTTGCCAAAATCCCAATTCCTGGCATAAAAAGTCTTCTGTACATCACACTCAAAGCAATCAGATGCATGTCTCAAAGCACTATGCTGGTGGCTGTGTGATTCCGTTTCATACAAAGAATTCTGATCTTTCCCCTCAACATTATTAAACTTTTAAAATGTGTATATGTCAAGTAAGGAGTCACAACAATGGTATACAAGAAGCATCTTGGAATAGAGTTCAGATGACTAATAATCTAATAATCACTAACCTTTTCTATAAGAAGTTTCTTGCTCATTGTTACACATCTATTTAATCGTTCCTTGTATTTCTCTAGCATCTTTTGCTGCTCATCAATCTGCCGTCTCAAATCACAGTTGGCCTATAATGGGGAAAAAAATTTCAATTAACTCCAAGGAATAAAGATTAATACAGAATCAATTTCTAGGAAGTTGGGGGGGAAAAAAAGTTTCTGCCTGTTATTAAAACAAACAAAAAATAAGGTTTAAGGAGAGTATATCTTTAAAAAAAGCAAATACTTCATTCCTTTATCTTCCTTCAGTAATTTGTTATTTATGTATTAATCATGAATCTCTAATAAAGCAGGCATTCCCCCACACACACACTGATCATAGATTCCCCCCTAGACAGTCAGGGTGGTTTCACCAAGTACCTGGCACATGCCTAAACTGTCATAAAAAAAAAAGGGAAAACCACCAATGAATTAGATGTTTAAAAATAGATACAAAGTGATTAAAACACTTAAACATTTTTCATTTTTTAAATGAAAGTCTATAACTCATTGGTTTTCCTTCAATTATCCATGTTTTTATTTATAAGATCAATTATAATCATTTAATGTAATTACTTGCAATGTCTCATCAAACCCTTATTGTACACTGTCCTTTTTGTCACTTAACTTTATTAATTTTTGTTCCTCTCTCTGGAGTTCTGATGGCCTAGTGGCAAGAAACTGCACTGCAATCCCAAAAGCACACGGTTCCAAGCCACCAGGTGCTCAGTGGGAGAAAGATGGACAATCTCCTCCCATGAGATTAACTGCCTCTGAGATGGACAATCCCCTCCCATGGGATTAACTGCCTCTGAAAACCTTCCCAAGGGGCAGGTAATGGGTTAGTTCTGGCTCTATGGTAAACAACAACAACTACTACTCTCCTTTCTAATCCTTTAAGGTGGATTCTATGTCATGTAACCATTCCATTAGCATTTTACTATCGTGTTCTTATATATAAATAGTCCTTTGGGCCTGACTTATGTCACTCAATATAATTTGTTCTAGATACATCCATTTTGTGCAGTATTTCACAAATTCTTTTGAAGATGTAGAATACTCCATTGTGTGACTGTACTATGGTTTCTTAAGCAGTTCATTCATTGTCTGTTGACAGACACTTGGGTTGTTTCCACCTTTGTCAGTGTAAATGGTACTGCAATAAACATAAGTTTGAGTGTGTCAATTTGTGTTGTAGCTTTTATTTCTTGGAGGTATATATACCTAATAGTGGGATTGCTGGATTAAATGGCATTTCTATTCCTAAGCATTTATACATTTAAAACTCTTCAAATAAAGTTTTTAGTGTTTATTTCTTATTCTTCAACTTTTATTTCAAAAAATGAAATGTGAATTTACAAATATGGTTCTTAACAGAGAAGTCAGACATATCTATGCTTGCAAAAGACAGGATTAAACAACTTAAGTACTAGATCCTTGGCTATTCAAAAAAAATGCAAGAATATAAATACATAGTTAATTCAGCTGTTGTCACAGCCTCCAAGATGGGCTAACTACTCTGAAAAACTCATGCCTCTTTTTAGGAACAGAGAAGTAAAGAAATCACTAGTCCAAAGTCAATTCGATTTGTTCTGTGTTAAGCAAATGATGTCCTGTTTCTGTAATATCATACGGTGTCTTGTTTGTTTGGGATTTTTTTTTAAAAAAGTTTTAACCTATATGGAACAAAGAAAAGTGAAGAAAAGCAAAGCTGTATATAAACAATTAGTCCAAAAGACTAATGGATCACTCAAACTTCAACTTCCACAACCATGAGATCAGAAGAACCCAGACAACGTTCACAGGAGAAGGTTCTGAACAGAATGGGAGAACATATAAAACAAAACCTCAGGGGTGGGCAGGGAGAAAAGTGCAACAATGAATGAATGGAAATCCAAAATCTCTGCAAATGTTCATTAAAATTAATAATTAAAAAAAATCGCCAAGTGTAGTCATGCAAAAGAGTGCTGGAATCTTCTGAGATTTTGTTGTTTAGTCATCCTTCAAGCATGGAACAAAATTCACCCCTGAGGTACAAGTAATAATAATAAAAAATAACAAATAAAAAATAAAATGATACAGTGAGCAATTCTTACCAGGGAGGCACTCCTTCTTTAGAACAATTAACCAAGAAGATCAAAAGGTATAAAGATTTAAAGGCAGGAAGAGGTAGGGCAGAGGGAAATATGGAAATGAGAAAAATAGGGCAGTAATGGGAAGAAAGTTGTTAAATAGGGCACTGTAATTAATGTTAAAATTGTGTGTAAATGGTTGAATGAAAATTAATTTGCTCAGTCTTATTCAAACTGCAAGTTTAAAAAATATGAGAAAACATTTTTCACAGAAAAAAATTTAAATTGCCTAACCAAATGATGTAAGTAGTCCTGAAACAGAAAAAAGCACAAAAAGAAGACATTACAGAAATGTCTCAATCTTTAAGACTTTTCTTCATTTTTTTTTTAATTTCAAACGAGTTGGTTTAATTCCAGGTGGTACAGAATTCTGGGCATAATGAAGAATGAAGATTCTGACAGGATTCTGGATTCCATTTACTTTGACT